GACGGCGGAGCAAACCTCCTGGTACTTATCTCGGCTCTTCTTGGGTGTTCGGCTCCTATTTTGTTACTTTATGTTCCCCAGATGGATGCAATCTTCCTATGTCTGTCCCTCTCTTTCTGACTCAATTCAATCAGCATGATACTTTCCATGCTGTAGTACCGCTTGTATGTAAATTTCATGACTTCATCTTTTCTAACAGATACATAGTACTCCATTGTGTAGATGTACCAACGTTACTGTAACCAGTCATCTGTTCTCTGGCGGTGGGTTTTTTTCCCCCCCAGATTTTGGCTATTGTGAATAGTGCAGCAATGAACATAGAAGCGCAGATGTCATTTCGACTGTACCAGATGGTGGAGCAAAGGTGTGGGGTGGGCAGGGGGTGGGGGGATAATCGTCAGGGCAGGGGGTGGTTCCTGGGAGACTCTTTCCTCCTCAGCCCTCCTTTGGCCCTGGGGCTTGGAGCTGGCCCCCCCAGCTAGGCTGAGCCCTGGTTTCCCTGGGAGCAACTGCCCGTGGCTCTGTGGCTGGAAAGGTCTACCTGAGGGTGGGGGCTGGGGACTGGTGCTTTGTGGTGGGTGTTCTGGAGTGGTTTTGTTGTGACCGCTCACACATAAGCATCTACTCTCTTGTAAACCAGTGTCCCCTCAAGTCCGACCAGATCCCTCTGGACTGAGTGCCTGCTGGGCTTCGCGCGGGGGGTGGGGGGTGATGAGGGAAGGGGGGTGACAGAAAATTATCCCTCCCTCACAGCCACCTTGAAAGTGAGGAACAGAGGACAACGGGTCTCAGGAGGCTAAGCTGCTTGTCTCGGACTTCACAGTGAAGGGGCTGGAGCAATAGTACAGTGTGGAGGGCATCTGCCTTGCATGTGGCCGACCCGGGTTCGATCCCCAGAATCCCATATGGTGACCTGAGCACTGCCAGGAGTAACTCCTGAGTGCAGAGCCGGGGTAAACCCTGCGCATCGCTGAATGTGACCCAAAAAGTAAGGAAAAAAAAGAAAGACTTTACAGCAAAGAAATCTGGTTCTATTGCCTGCACCCCTTCTACTTCCTGTCCGGCTTCTTTTTTTTTTTTTTTTTTGGCGGGGGCAGGGTGGAGGTGTTTCAGACATGCCCAGCTGTCCTCAGGGCTTACTCCTGACTGTCCTCAGGGATTGCTCCTAAGGGCACATGGTGCGGGGGAGGGACACCATAGATGGCGCGGGGAAGGAGCTTGGGTCAGCTGCAAGCAAGGCACGTGCCTTTCCTGCTGTACGATCCCTCCAGTGCCAGCCTCCCTGTTCATTTCGGTCCCTGTCCTGCCTCCTTTTGGGTACTTGGAAAGGATCAGAGGGAACACAATCAGAGCAATCGTGCCACTGAGAGGACGGGCACCACACCCAGGTCTTAGCAAGGGTTGAGCCTCTGAGGGCTGGACCGTGCTCCCGGAGCACCTGTGACATCTCTCTGTCTCCAATGGAGGGGGAAATGTTGGGGTGACATCTTCAACAATTAATATTTGACTCTGAGCTTATAGAATAGAGTGAAGTGTGGGACTTACTGGCGCTGGACTGCCCTGGTGTGGGGGTGAGCCGTGGCTAGGGTCTGCCCAGATCAACTGGACTCTGACTTTAAAGCAGTAGTGGGGTGCTGGGAGGCCCCAAGCAGCCAAGAGCAGTGCAGGAGTGATGGGGCCTTCTCTTGAGTACCGCCTTATAGATTTCACCCTGGGACTTCGGGAAATATCAGGGTCCTTGGGAGGACGGGAGAGCTCGAGGGGCAGCCATAAAAGCTAGTTTGAGGGGCCAGAAGTAGAGTATGCTTACCGGGTTTGAGCTTTGGCACCACTGACGTTCCCCTGAGCACCGCCAGGAGTGATCCCCAAGTGCAGAGCCAGGAGATGAACTTAAAAGGCCTGCTTCACACATACTAAAATACTGGGCCACGGACTGGAGCGATAGCACAGCAGGGAAGGTGTTGGCCTTGTAAGCGGTCAACCTGGGTTCAATCCCTGGATGCCCTCATGGTCCCCCGAGCACCGCCAGGCATGATTTCTGAGTTCAGAGCTGGGACTAAGTCCTGAGCATCATCAGGTGTGGCCCAAATTTTAAAATAAGGTAAAATAAAATTCAGGGCCTCCTCCAAGATCAAGGTGGCCTCAAAGTGGGCCTTGACCTTCTCTTTAAAAAAGTTTTTTAATTTTTTATTGAATCACAGTGAGATGCACAGTTACAAATTTCTTCATGATTGGGTTTCAGTCATATAATGTTCCAACACGCATCTTTTCACCCATCACCATTTCCCATCACCAATGTCCCCAATTTCCTTCCTGTCCCCTCTCCCCGCCCTGTTCCTGCCGCCTGCCACTATGGCAATGACTTTAATCTCTCTCTTCCTCTCTTCTCTTTCTTCTCTCTTTCCCTCTTTCTCTCGCTCTGTGTCTCTCTCTCTCTCTCTCGGTATCTCTCCCTCTCTTTGTTTTGGGTTCCATGGCCATAAAGACCTTTGACCTCCTGCCTCAGGTCTCTCCCGCTGGCCACCCTGCTGCTCCCAGCACCTCCTTGACCTGGCCCGGACCATGGTTGAGGCCTGACCTGTGGCTTCATCTCCGTCCTGGCCCTCTTGATCTGCTCTCTGCTCTGCAGTGACCGGCCTAGGCCCCGCACCTTGGGATGAAGTGGACATGTGCTCATTCCCTCTTCCTCCAGTCTCTGGCTTGGCCCCCCAGAGCCGCCACAGCCCCTGGGGTTCTGGTGTTTTTCTCACCTCAGGCCATGGGAACATGAGGACTGGTCTAGAACCCACGCAGGTGACTGATGCCTCTCCTCCTAGCTCAGTTTCATCTGCCCCGTGGCCTCGCCCCACTGGCCTGACACTTAGCCCACTATCCTTTCTTGTCCTTGGAAGCGTCCATTGATAAGGCATATTCGTCTCCTGCCCATAATCACTGGATGTCGCTTTCCTCACTTTGAGTGTCGTGAGGTCAAGGTCTGTGTCTGTTCTGTCGGCTGCTTTTGGGGGAGCCTGGGGGCGTCCTTCTGAGCAGTGTTCAGGGGGATTCTCAGCCCGGTTCTGTCAGCCTGCAGGTTCTGAGCTCAGGCCAATGACGTGGAGCTGTTGGGGCTCTGTGTGTGTGTGTGTGTGTGTGTGTGTGTGTGTGTGTGTGTGTGTGCGCGCGTGTGATCACCAGGGCCACCCTCTGTTGCTTGAGGGCGAACAAAGCCGCACCCTGTGGGGTCAGGGAGGACCCTGCGGTACTGGGGATCAAACCTGGGACTGTAGACTCAGCCTGTGCTCCAGCCCGTTCAGCAGTCGCCTTGCTCCTGTTCGCCTTTTTTTTAAGTTCAAATTTGACTGATTTGTCATTGGCTGACATGACTCCATACATTCCGGAAGCACAGGTCTCATCTCCACTTGCCTCTCGAGGGGTTTCTCCATTATCTGCCTCCCGTCTGACCCAGCAGCTGGTGTTCAGAGAGACCCTGCATGCATGAGGGGCCCACGGGGCCACCTTGGAGAGTGGAGGGCCTCCGGGGTGGGGGCGCTTGATGAGCAGAGAGCCTTAGTGGGAGGGGACGGCTTAGAGAGCAGGAAGCCTTGGAGACTGGGGAATCCAGGTGAATGGGGAGCCTAGAGGGGGGCCTTGAAGAGCCGGGGGGCCTTGGAGTTCAGGCAGGGACCCTGGTGAGTGGGAGCCTTGGCGAGCAAGCCGGGTACCGGGCGGGGCTGCCGCAGCTCCCTCTGCTCCCCTGGGTCTCCTCACCCCTACCGGGGGCAGCAGCAGGTCCAGCAGGAGCCCAGAGGAAGCAGCCTGCCCTGCAGCAGCCTTCGCTTCCACTGCGAAGACATAGTCGGTCAGGGGTGCGGGGACACTCGCGGCCCCCAGGTCCCCTGCATGGCACAGTTCCTGGATTCCAACCGCGAGGAATTTATGGCCTGGAAAGAGCTCTGATAACAGGCAAACACAGGGACTGGGGCAAAAGTACAGGGGGTCAGGCTCTTGCCCTGCACACAATCAACCCAGGTCCCATCCCCGGCATCCCATGGTCCCCCGAGCACCACCGGGAGCAATTCCTGAGTGCAGAACCAGGAGGAACCCCTGAGCACTGCTGGGGGATGTGACCCAAAAGAAAAAGGGGGGCAGAAAGGGAAATATAACAGTTTGCATTTCACTCACCCTGCTGGGACCCAGGCGAATGAATGACCCTGAATGAGGGTAGCAGAGACCTCCTGGGAGTCCCTGGCCACCAGGACTTGCCACCTGGGGAAAGGGCTGGAAAATTGAGACGGATGACAGACAGTGTGTGTTTAGCCCCTGCAGGGCACGTTCACATCCTGCCAGCCCCTGAGGCAGCTGTCAAACTGCACCTAATGTCCACTAGTTCTGCTGGGCGTGGGGGATGATCCCCACCGCCCAATTTCTCAGGGAGCCGTGGACTCAGGCTGGAGCGAGGAATTGCTGTTTGCAGAAAAAAAAGGAAATCTCACCCATGCTTTTCAGATCCTTCTCCTGGCCCGCCCAGGAAAGAATTTCAGGAGGAGACAAATACAGAAGTACAACCAATCCGCTGGGGAAATAAAGGGAGGGAAGGAGAGGCGTGGATTTGGAGATCTGTGCTCGAGAGAGCACACGGGCTTCTCCAGAGGGGCAACAGGCAAAGCACACACAACAGGGGCCAATGCGCCCCACAGCATGAAAGCCCACCTCTCACGAGGGGGGATGCAGGGCGGGCGCGCTGAGCAGTGGGGAGGGTCCGGCCTAGGAGGGGGATGCCCACGCGTCCTGACTCTGCCTCGGCCCAGTCTCGCCGGCTCTCGGCCAGCCATTGCTGCCGGGGTTGCTGCTTGACCACACCCCGGGGGGAATGCTGGTCCCACCCGCCAACAGCCGGGCAGCCTCTGGCCTTGGCACCAGGCAGGTGCGCGGGAGGCGCGGCCATCTGGCAGCTGCAGGTGCTGCGTGAGCGCTGCCATGGCGACCGCCCAGGGCTGGCGGCAGCGGCGACTGGAGAAGGCAGGTTCCCCAGGCTGGGCAGCTTCAGGAGCCAGAGAGACAGGAGCCTCGGGCCCTCCAGGGCGATCTCCCTGACCATCCCTCAAAGCCAAGGGCAGGTGGGTGACCCGGGGGCTCCCCGGGACCAGGAGGAGGCCGGGGAGACCCAGCATGGACGGGGGTGGGGTTGGGGACGTGTGCAGGGGCCTCTGCCAGCTCCCAGCTGCAGGGGAGAGATAGGCCCAGCCTGGGAACCCCCTTACCAGGCCGGCCCGGCGAGTGGGAGTGGGGGGTATTGCCGGGCGTAGAGCGGGGAGGCTGGCCCCTGCAAGGACGAGGAAGGCCTGTGTGTCCCCAGAGGCGGCCAGGCCAGGGAATTCTCAGTGCCTGTGGCTGTGCTTGGCGGGGCTGGAGGCGGCAGAGAAGGGGACACAGCTGCACACACCACCCTGGGGCGCCTTCCTCTCGCGAGAGGCACAATTCCACACGGTGCAGGAGGGACGTCTGTGCCATCCCCAAACAGGGGTGCAGTCTTCTCCAGCAGTGAGGTGGGGGCCCAGGCCTGGGTCCGCAGGGGCAGTGGGGTGTCGGGGAAGCCGCGCTCTCCTCCTTTGCACCCAGGTGCTTTCCGTCCGTGAGATGCGGTGGGGGGAGACGAGACGGGATGTCTTCTCAACGCCCAGCCATGCACGCACAGGCAGGGCCGGTACTTCCTGGGTAAGCGCCTTTGCTTCTCTCGTCCTTCCTTCTAGAACGGTTTCCCGCCAGACCCCTCAGGGCTCAGGGTGAGGATGGCCGAGCCGCAGGGCCGGGAGCCGGAGGCCGAGTGCCCCGTGTGCTGGAACCCCTTCAACAACACCTTCCACACCCCCAAAGTGCTGGACTGCTGCCACTCCTTCTGCGTGGAATGCCTGGCCCACATCAGCCTGGTGGCCCCGGCCCAGCGCCGGCTCCTCTGCCCGCTCTGCCGCCAGCCCACGGTGCTGGCCTCGGGCCAGCCGGTCACCGACCTGCCCACGGACACCGCCATGCTCACGCTGCTCCGCCTGGAGCCCCACCATGTCATCCTGGAAGGCCGGCAGCTGTGCCTCAAAGACCAGCCCAAGAGCCGCTACTTCCTGCGTCAGCCCCGGGTCTACACGCTGGACCTGGGCCCCGAGCCCGGGAGCCAGACGGGACCCCCGCCGCCAGCCACCACCCCCGTGGCCAGGTCCAGGCCCCGGCCCATCCCCAGCCACTACTCTCTGAGGGAGTGTTTCCGCAACCCTCAGTTTCGGATCTTTGCCTACCTGATGGCCGTTATCCTCAGCGTCACGCTCTTGCTCATTTTATCCATCTTCTGGACCAAGCAGTTCCTTTGGGGCGTGGGGTGAACCCTCCGTTCCCAGACAAGGACTTGTGTTTTTCTCGGTCACCGCTGCTGGGGCCGGGGATGGCAGGGCCTCGCTCGCAGGCGGACTTCTCTCCGTAGTATTGCTCAAGTGTTCCCATTCAGGGATCAGCGAGAGGCTGTGTGCTCCTGGTCCTGTTGGGATGAAAGCTCCAGACAGCACCGGGCCGGAGAAAAATGGCAAGAGGCCACTGGGGCAAGCCTAGGGGTTGTGGAAGGGCGACTCGAGCCACGGAGCAAGTTTGTGCCAAAGGGATGGACAATAGGATCCAGGCGCCCGACTAGCCACGGAGCCCATCGTGTTTCTCCCCGCCAGCTGCTTGGAACTCCGTTCACAGGATTTCGAATTGTTCTTTTTATGACGTTGCTAACAAAGTTGGAAGCTGAGCTTCCGTGCAGGGAACACGTGTATCTCCCTTTTCAGTTTTCTCTCTGGGTGTCTTGCCAGCGGACCCAGTAAAAACGGCTTGCGTTCACATGCGTGCTCCATGTAGTCATTCGGCAGCCGCTTAATTGGTGGGCGCTTCAGAACCTGGGAGAGGTAGCTGGGGGGATTACCCAGGCGGGCCGAGAGCCCCGATTTACTGCAGGGACGGGGATGGGGTTACAGGCTCACTAGTGGCTTCTTGTACAAGACCTCTTGTCAGCATGTGGTTGATGGGGTGCCAGGTATGTAAACTGTGTGTGGATGGGAAGCAATCTGGACTCTGGAAGTTTTTGCCTGCCCATTGGTGTAGAGTCCTGGCTGGATGACTCCGCGCTGGGTGGAGCTCTGAATCCCAGGCACTGTGATTCAAAAGGTAAGGCAGGGGCTGAAGCGAGAGCTCCATGGACCTAGCGCAAGTTTTGTATGTAGGAGGCCCAAGCTGGACCCGAGTACTGCATGGTCCCCTGAGCACAGAGCTGGGAGTGCTCTCACAAAACCAAAAGGCATCGAACCACATAGCCAGCGAGACATCTAAGTGGAACATACAAGTTCCTCAGTTTGAATCCTACTCCTACACAACCCACTGGGCACCTCCAAGTATAACCCTGGTGACCCCTATTAGAAAGAGGTAAGGCGGTAACTTCAGTTAGAGGCAAGGCCTTAGTTCCCACCCCAGGCCTTGCAGGCAGTGGACCTGTTTTTTCCTTGTGTGTGTGTGGCAATGGGGGATATACCCAGCAGTGCTTGGGGGTCCATTGCTATGCTGGAGATCAAACCCAGGTTTTCAGGAAAGTTCATGGAGCAGGCACTCTGGGCCTTGGCACTATCTCCCTGGTTCATTTGGTAACGAGATCCAGGACCCAGAATGAATGTGGATGTTGTGGGTACAATTCGAGTTTTGGAGTGTTTACCCAGTTGTACCACTGTCTGGAGGTTCAGGATCCTAGAATATCTGAAGTGACTAAAACACCCTCACAATTGTTAAAGCTATTATTTTTTAGAGGGGGTCATACCTGGTGATGTTCAGGGCTTACTCCTGGCTCTGCATTCAGGGATTACTTTTGGGGGACCGTATTGCTGGGGATCAAGCCTGGGTTGGCTGTGTGCAAGCACCTTACCTGTGTACTATCACTCTGGGCCCCCATTATGCTAATGTTTCCTTGATATGCAGAGTAAGTTTTCAGAGTTGAGAAACTGAGTCAGTTACATTCATTCCAAGTTAATATTCTGAGTTTAATGGAACTAGCTCCCCTAATTCCCCTTATGGGTCTTCAGGTACAAAGAGATTCCATTTAATCCAGGCTATCTGGATCACCAGTTTAGTGAAACAATACCGTCTTAAGCATCAAGGTTGAAGACAAAACCGTCCATAAAAAAACTGAAACATCTCCCACCAGGGGACCCACACCTGCCTCCTCATTTGCGCCATCAAAGATAATTACACTCAGGCTGGGACTCCGGGACTCCCTGCTGACTTCATTTCTTTACACGTCCTTGCTGCTTAACCCTGTGGCGGCTAAGTCAGGCAATGACCTCACCGTGTTCTCAGAGCTGGGAGGGACAGAATCTTGGTCTTTGCCCCAGCACCTTGGCTTGAAGGAAGCTTCACCCTCATCTCAAAGAGAAACTGAGTTTTAGCTACCCTGTTCATTGACCCCTAGTGAGTATGGGGTAACCGCTACCTCACACCGGAACTTAAGGTCTTGGGAGTGACTTGTTCCCTGCAAGAGACAGGCTTGGAGGGGTGGGAGTGGGCTTGGCTGGGGGAGATGTACTCAACATAAGTGTCTTCTATGCGGTCATTTAGCAGTCCTGGCCTTGGGGAGGGCCATTCTTCTGGGGAGCGGGGGACCCCTGGAGGGTGTTAGTGCTTCTGTGTAACAGAACTTGGGATTTCCAAAACAGGCTGCAACGCCTAAGACAGTTCTGTAGCATCCCTTCTTGTTTGTTTTTGGGCCATACCCACGATGCTCAGGGCTACTCCTGGCAGCGCACAGGCCGTAGGGGATAGTAGGGATTGGATTCGTGCAAAGCAAGCACCTAACTGTTGTATTCCCTTGGGCCCTGCATCCTCACTTCTGAAATGCACTTTCCTGTCGACTAGCAAACACTGAGCAGATGCCTCGAATGCAGGGACCCCGAGTTTAAACCCTGGCAGAGCACAGCCTGAAATCAAAATCAAGGTCCTGAGGTAGGAGCAGTGATGTTACTTCTGCCCCCTTTGGCATGTGCTCACAGGAAGAGAAGCAGCAACTCGACGGAAGGGGAGTATAAAAGGCAGAGGTGAAATGCTTATTTGCTTCTGTTCTTTTAGGTTTGGGGAGCACACCGTGATGCTAGGATTGAACTGGGGTTAGCCACATGCCTCCAGCCTGGTACTGTCTCTCTGACCCAGTGCTTATACTTCATTATTGGAAAGACTCTGGAGGCTGGACTGAGTCTGTTCTTTACGCATACAGCCAATGTGCTCAGTAAGATCCTAGCTACAAAATGTCTTGATAAGACACAGGCAGACCAGGCTCCACCACTTACTACTAACTGGTAACTTTGGGCGTGGGAGTAATCACTGGGTGTGAGCAGGTAGCCCCAAACTCCAGAAGCTTGAGCACTGAACCATCAAGTCTGCACAGCCAGATGGAGTTTACTGCGACAAGTGGCCCTTGGAACACTGCTTGAGAGCACCCCGCACCCCAGAAAGTAATTATCAACTCTTAAGCTTGTGAGGATGACACAGAATACCTAAACAGGCCTAAGTGAGGCAGGAGAGATAGTACAATGGGTAGGGTGTTTGCCTTGCATATGACGGGTACGGTCCCCTGAGCACTGCCAGGAATAATTTCCGAGTGCAGAGCCAGAAGTAACCCAGAGTGTTGTCGACCGGTATAACTCAGAGTGAGAAAGAAACAAAACCCATGCCTAAGGACAGTGTCACGGCAGAGAGCGGGGGTTAGCTGGGGCTGTATTTTCCTCACCCTGAGCATGAAAGCGCACACCTACCTCCTGTTCCTTAGCTACATTCTTCCACTAACATTTCTAGGGAAGCCAGGAACATTCCACACTTGCTCTGCCTAAGGCCCAGGTCAAATGTTTTTGCCTCATGGCCTCTACATGTCCTGGGACCAAAACACACACAAAAAGACAAATCTAATGAAATAATTTAAACTTAAAAAACTAAAAATCTCTGTGAGCACACTCTACCCAATCATGCAATAACTGTACGTCCGTTACTGTTTTAGACCTATCCCAAAGAGTGATGGAAATACATTTTCAGCTGGGGAGACAGCTGCGCTGGCTGGAGCAATGCTTTGCATGCCAGAGCCCCAGGTCCAATCCGCGGCATCATGTGGTCGCCAAGCCCCAGCGGGAGTGACCCTGTGCACTGCCTGGTGTGGTTCAAAAGCTTAAATCCTTTTTTCACGGTCAACTGTGGAGGAAATCAAGCATGTAACACTTATTCAGAAGTTTAGCAAATACAAAAGTTACCTAACTGGTTTTAAATGAAATCAGATGAAACTGAATATTTACTGATATGTCACATTCTTTGTTTAGACAAAGTTAAACTAAGTCACTCTGGAACAGCAAATGAAATAAACTCTAAATATTCAAGAAGCCAGGTGTAAGCCCTTCTTGAATTCCCTATACCGGTCCTTCAAATTTCCTATATTTTGATGAATTTACAGTGTATCCTGTGGTCAGTGGTTGTAAAGCCGTATTTGAGAAGGCTCAAACTGAAAACAAAAACAAAAAAGCCTCCATGGGCTAATGGCTGGGATTCAGAAAATGCTTAACTATTACAAAATAGTTTTTTTTTAAACGAGAGTTCTTATAGGATTTTGCTCTGTAAAATAAAATAGAATAAAATAAAATTAAAAAAAGAACAGTAAAAGAGCAAGTTCATGCTCACAAGTACCCATTAGGGACTTTTTTCTAGGTACCACGATTCGAGGGCACAGTCCTTAGCCCCTAGAAAAGTGTTGGCGCTACGGAGACGGCACGTTTGCTTTCTAAAACTGCCAGGGAATAGGTGGGATCACACACAGGAGCCCAAACTTCAAGGCCAACGTTCAGTGCGCAGGATCCCGATGCAGTTCGGAGTATTTCAAGGAAGAGCAACCCTGAGAACCAGAAACGTGTGACCCTCGACATCCTTCTCAGGGCAGCCGAGTGAATCTCCTGTCATGCTCTGTGAACCATCTGTGGTCCAGGGGAGTCCAGCTGCCTTGCTCCGGGGCTCCCGGGCAGTCCAGATCACAGGCCATGTCAGGGGAAGCGAAGTTCCTAAAGGCGAAGACAGCCACAATCCTGAGTGTGGTGAGAGGCAATCGGGTATGTGAATAAAAGGTTCATAAGAACAATGTCTACACAGTCTGAGGCGGGCCTGAAGATGAACACGACAACTTCAACCACAAAAGGGGCTCGACCAACACCCGGAGACACAGGGAAACCTGTCCACAGAAATCCATTCTGCTGAGGTTTTGCCTGTCTGTGGAGACGGGCGAAATACATGATGGAACAGAAGACTTCGATTCCTTTCTTTTGGAAATAGCTCTTTTTTTAAGGGCCAGTCCGGGGTTCTGGCTATTCAGCCATCCAGAGCTTGAAGGTCCTGTCATAGGAGCAAGTGGCTATGAGCTGCCCGTCGGAAGAAATATCTAAGCCCATCACTTTGCCTTCGTGGCCAGCCAGGGTCTTCAGCGGGGACCAGCCGGGGTGGGTCCAGATCTTGGCTGTGTTGTCGTAGGCACCAGTGAGCAAGTAGTTCCCATGGATAGCTAGGAGAGAAGAGAAAGGGAGCTGCTGGAAGAGTCCACGCATTAAAAGGAATCTAAAACAGAAGCCCCTAGGCTGGCTGGCAGGTTACTTGGAAAAATAAGGTGTTTGTGTCATCGCCCCAAAAAAAAAAAAAAAAAAAAAAAAAAGACCCTCTGGAGTCACATTCCTATCACATTCAGGAAAAAGGGACAATTTCAGGGGCCCGAGAATACAGTGGGTGGGGCATTTGCCTTGCATGCATCCAGCCCAGCGTCAGTCCCCAGCACCACAGATGGTTCCCCAAGCCTGGCCTGGACAGAGCGCTAAGGCTCTAAGCAGAGCATAAGCAGAGCCAGGAGTAAGCCCTGAGCACTGCTGGGTATGGCCCCCCCAAACAAACAACAAAAGGGTCAACTCCAGGCCCAGGGAGCCACTAAAGCCTTGAGGCTAATTTCCCTGAGAAGCAAGAAGAGTCGGTTGGATGCTTTGTGCTTCCATGGAGGAAAAACAGCAGCAACGCACTCCTGGAAGTCTATTTCCATGACGGAGGCTGCGCCACAGCTCCTTCTGGAGGTGTGGCAGAGGGAATGCACACACTAATTCCCTCCTGTTCCGCTTCCAAGTTAAGGGGAAGCTCGGCACAGCCCGTTTCCTAATCGGGCCCAAGAGAGCAGGAAAGCTTACGCTCAAACTTGACCCCGGTCACCAAGTTCTGATGGGCCGGGATGGTGTAGACGCATCGCCGCTGCCGAAGGTCCCATACTTTGCAGGTATTGTCACCACTCCCAGTTGCAATGTGGTAGCTGTGAGCGGAACCAATGCGGAGGTGAGACAGAGGACTTCCGGGCCACTGACCCCCGCCCCCTGCATCCTTGCCAAGTCAGTGGACTTCTTCTTACCCATTGGGGGAGAAATTTATTCCATAGATTTCCTTCAGGTGGCCTTCCAGGAACATGATACAGCGTCCCGTTCGCAGGTCCCACACTCGGCCAAACGCATCCAGGCCCCTGATACAGTAAGATATGAATTCACTCCGGAAGCCCAGTGTTGGGGAAGCAGGGTGGGCACAGTGGGTGCGGAAGAAGCCTTACCCAGTGCCAGCCAGGGAGCCATCCTGATGGAAGGCAATGTCGTGTACGCCCATGCTGTGGCCCTCCTGATGTAGAATCTCCTCCTGAGCCTCCAGGTCCCACAAACGCCAGGAGTGGTCATAGCTGCAACGGCAAAGTTATCCAGCGGCTGTCACCAAGCGCCTACAGCAGACAAGGGACCCTAGGGGGCTGCAGAGATGATGCCACAGGGAAGGTGCCTGCCTCGCATGGCCAAGCTGGGTTCAATGCTAAGCGCTGCACAGTCCCGAGCCCGAGTACAGCAGTTGCAGACCCCAAACCATACAACATGAGATTTACGACACATCTGTTAAATTAGGCAAAATGGTTAAGATGGATACCAAATGTTGGGAAGGGTGTAACATCCAGAACACTGGGAAATACAGTAATACTTTTGGAGATCTATGGGCTGGAGTGATAGCACAGTGGGTCGGGCAATCACCTTACATGCGATTGTCAACCCAGGTTCAATCCCCAGGACCCCACATGGTCCCTCGAGCACAGCCAGGAGAGATCTTTGACGGCAGAGCCAGGAGTAAGCTCTGAGGACCCCTCCCAGGTGTGGCTCAAAAACAAAATAAATCAACATTAGGCAGAGAATCTCAGGGAGATGGAAATTTTTCCTGACGAAAGAGGGGCCAGGGAGAGAGTTCAGAAGGCTGGACCTTGTGCCCGGCGATCCCAAGCACCACATGGTGCCAAAGCACTGGCAGGTTTGGTCCTGGTGGCATCCAGCACCCCACTGTTGGACTCAAGGACAGAACCATCTTGGGTCCCCCCAAGCACTGCCCGGGAGCTGTCCCAGACGACCTCCTGACCCCCTGGAAAAATGGACTTAAATGTACTTATGGAATAAATCCATTCTACTGCATGTAAATGACTGGGTTTGGGAGGCGCACACCCAGTGGTACTTAGGAGGGCTCGCTCATTCCTGACTCTGTGCTGAGGATGACTCTTGGCAGCACTCGGAGCTAAAAACGAGCCATTAGTGACTTTGAAATTCTGGAATAACTGCAATTTAAAAGCAAATACAGTAGACATAAACCTTTTTCTTAAAGAAGGTTTTGGGACACACCAGGTGAAGCTCAGGGGACCATACAGAATGCCAGAGATCGAATCTGAGTTGGTTAAGTGCAAGGCAAGCAACCTACTCGCTATTATCTCTCTGGCCCTCATACCTTCTTTTTTTTATGGTGGTTGTGGGGTGAGTGTGTGTGTTTGTGTGTGTGTGGGGGGGGGGGTTCATACCTGACAACGTCCAAGGCTTACTCGAGGCTCTGTATTCAGGGGTCACTCCTGATGGGGCTTGGGATACCACATGGGATGACAAGGATCAAACCTGGGTTGGCCATGAGGAGGGACGCGCCCTACACGCTGTCCTATCTCTCTTGCCCACTGTACACTCTCTTCTGATTCACCGAAGCTTAAGAACATCCTATCTGAAGAGCCAATAAAGGGCTCATACCCCATGGAAGGCCTGCGTGGACAAAATAGTAACAGAGCAGCTTACCAGGTGGTGCCCAGGAAACGTCCGGATGGATGCCACATCACTCGGGCCACACGCACCGTATGGCCTTCAATGTCTGCTACCGGTTCATCACTGAAAGCCAATGAGACATGCTAGTAAACCCTTTGACAGTCAGACAATGAGTCATTCCACTTACGAACCACCAGGCACACTGTGTACAACTCAGAGACCCAAGTGTATGTCACTATACATGTTCTATATTAAGATTTTAGGACTAATAACATAAAAACACTTCCCGAAGTGTTAATGAGGGCCTGGTCCAAGAGCTCAGTGGCCTGCACATCTGCCGTTAGGAAGAGATCATGAGTCCAACCCTGCTGACTGAGCACAGTGACTGTGTGGCTGCGAGTGGATTTGCCCTGGGGAGCATCATTGGGAGGGTGCGAGCACCAAGGCTACAAGGCGCAGCTCCTGCAGCAACCATGAACCAGACACGACCAGCACCACAAGCAGAATACGTGTGAGCAGTGCTGGGACAAGCACGCAATGAGGGGAACCAACACGGGGAGGGCTGCTGCCAGGTACTGGCACGGAAACCTGACGCCCCACGCCTGCAGAGCATCTCAGCTACGCGTGTGACGTCACCACAACAAAGACAGGGGAGGGAAAAGAACACAGAGTGGAAAAAGGGAAAAACAACTCTGAACCAGAAGCAGTGCTGGGTTTGCAGGATGCAAAGGAACACAGCGGGGGAATAACTAAGGGCCAAAGACAATAGAAACGAAAGGCAGGGAACAGGTCCTTGGTAGGAAGCTTGTTACTGAGGGGCAGGGGAGAGAAGAGGGGATAGGTCAGGGAGGGGAGCACTACAATGGGAGAAAGAAGTGGTTACTCTGGATGAGGACTGGGGGATGAATGGAGGTAAAGGGACATGCATGATACCCTCTCAGTAGTAGTACTGTAAACCAGTGCCAGAAAGGAAAAAGAAAAAAAAGGAAAGAAAAGAAAAAAAAAAGGAGGGGAGGAGAAGGGAAGGGTGGAAGGTGAAGATAGACACAAAAGTGCCTGCCATAGAGGAGGAACTTGGGGGCACTGGTGATAAATCTGGGCTCTAACATTGTACTCCTGAAACTAAATCATGAACAACTTTGTAACTCACAGTGATTCAATCAACCAGAAACAAAGCAGTGCTGGAATTCTAGCAAGAAAACATATTTTTTCTAGAATATGTTTGGCAACAGGAAACAAAATGCCTTGGTGCGAGTGGACTACAGATAAACAGCTTTCACACATTTCAAGGTTCCACATGAGAAAGGAACCCCTCACAAATCGGCAGAGGCTTAGTCTTTGGAGGGGCATTAAATTCGACGAGGCAGTAACTAGAGAAATTAGATGAGACACCAGCCAGAGGAAATAAACACGAACCCTAAAGAGGGCAATTAAAAAGGGAACTTTGTCAATGTGCATACATAGGACTAATCAAAGCCCGAGGGGAACAAATACTGCTAAGTATTAACAAAGCCAATTAAAACTTTCTGCGCTCATAGAAAAGATCCTGTCTGGCAGCGAGGAGACACTAATGAGCTCTTTACCAAACCCCGAACACCAGCTTCGCGTGCTTTCCCGCAGAGAGAAAACCGGGCAACTGAGTTCTGAGGCCAGTTAGTCAATAGGGCTCTCCCGACTTTCTTGGAAACAATCACACCAGGATGGAAAGAAACGGCTGTAACTGGCAAGTACCCGCAAGGTGAGGATGACCCTGCTGGAAGGAGGCCTCACTTCCCTGGCAATGTTGCCAGACACCACCCCGCCTCCTCTCCTTGGTGGCTGTTTACTAAGAACCCGGGTAGTGCCAAGAATATCATCCTCAGTCAACCTCCAATGTCGATCTATGGTGTCGGAGGTATAGCAGCCAATCTTTCCAGGTTAACTAGAATCAGTCAACTGAGGGCTCTAAGCCACAAAGTCCAGCTCCAGAGTTAACGGACAAGAGAGCTGGGCCAGGTCTGGCCTGTCTCGTTACTGAGGCTCCCGGAGCACCTCTAGGGTAAAGGAGCAAGGTTTCAGGCGCCAAGGGCCAAGCCAGGACGAGTGCCCGCGGCACGGACAGCATCACAGCTTCTGCTCACCTGTCCAGGCTCCAGAGCTTCACAGACCCGTCAGCAGCGCAAGAGGCCAGGTTGACAGCTTTCTCGTCCAAGGAGATGGTGGAATTGGGATGGAACACAATGGCGCCGACGTTGGTGTTATGGCCTGAGGGAGTGTTCAAAGAGAAGGTCCGAGTTCGCACCCAGACTAATGAAGATTGCAGACTTAAATCAGGGCGTCTGAGGACAAGTACTCAAGTGAACCATGGGACTACTAGTACTCCCCCGACCCCTGAACTACTTTAACCTAACCTTTATAGGAGTTTTTCTAAGGGGCTGGAGCAATAGCACAGCAGGTAGGGCATTTGCCTTGTACATGCTGACCCGGGTTCGATTCCCAGCATCCCATATGGTCCCCTGAGCACCGCCAGCAGTAATTCCTGAGTGCAGAGCCAGGAAGTAAACCCTGTCCATCGCCAGGTGTGACCCAAAGAGCAAAAAAAAAAAAAAAAGTCTTTCTAAGCAAAACACAGCAAGGCTTCGGATCTGGGTGCGGTGCGCAATTTGCAAGCAACACACCAGAAGGAGCCTGGTTCAGAGCCAAGAGTGGCATGTAGTAGGGGACTGGCGCCGGCCTCAAGCTCCAAGAAAACCCAAGCTGGTGAAACCCGATCCAGAGTGAGTCCTGGGAACTGGGTCTGAGTGTTGGGTGAGGGTTCGTACTGGGAAGACCAACTTACCTCGCAGCGTCTGAAGAAGGTTGCAATCAGGCACAGACCAGAGCTTGCAAAGCCCACTCCTATCAAACACAAAGGAAAGCATCTCAGCCTGGGTTGGTCTGGGGAGGAAAAAGTGCCTTGGTAGCATTACTAAACGTCATCACACCCCCAATCACCTTCACAGCGGTAAACAGAAAAAGAAAAACCAAAGGCCAGAGAGATAGGGGAGCTAGAGAAATAATGCGGGATTAAGGGGCTTGCCTTGCAGGTGGCCAACCCTGGCTTGACCCCTGGAATCCCCTGGTCCCCAGGAACTGCCCAGTGACCCCCAAGCAGAGAAATGAGTTTAGTCCCTAAGCAGAGCAGGGTGGGGCCCAATCTTTGCACCCCAGGTGCATTAAACTACTCTGACCCATGACCTGCTCTGAAATACTGGTGTCAGAAACGTGCCAGAACATTCCAGGGATCTTGGGGTCCCTTGCACAGGTAGAATTACTCAAACTTTAGGCTACATGTGAATGGGCAGAGCTCATGAGATGTGAAGAGGGTGGAGAAATAGACATATAAGACAACTGTCACTGTGAAAAGGAACTTACCAGCAAGCCGTGGCCAACATTTTGGAATTGGGACTAAAGTGACAGAAGGAGATAGGCCGGTCATCCCCAATCTGACTGCAGAAATTATTCAGAGACTTTAAAAGAAAAAAAAGAAAAAAGAAAAGAAAAATATGGCGAGTGTCAGCAGCTACTCCAGTGGCTTCCTGGATTTCCCACCATGAAAAAGGAGCCTTTTCTTTTTTTTTTTAATTTTTATTAGTGAAACACCATGAGGTAAGTTGTAGACTTACAAATTTTTGTGCTTGGGTTTCAGTTATACAATGATCGAGTAACCATCCCTCCACCAGTGCCCATTCTCCATCACCACTAATCCCAGCATCCCTCCCACCCCCTATCCCCCCCATCCCACCCTGCCTCTGTGGCAGGGCATTCCCTTTTGTTCTCTCTCTCCTCTTGGGTGCTGTGGTTTGCAAAAGAGGCATTGAGTGGCAATCATGTTTGGTCTATAGTCTACTTTCAGCATGCTTCTCCCATCCTGGGAGGATCCTCCCAACACCCTTTATTTGGTGCTCCCTTCTCTATCTGAACTCCCTTTTCCCCTAGCATGTGTAGCTGGCCTCCAAGCCATGGAGCAAACCTCCTGGTACTCGGTCACTCTTGGGTGTTAGTCTCCTATTTTGTTACTTCATGTTCCCCAGATGAATGCAATCTTTCTATTCCTCTCTTTCTGACTCATTTGGCTTAATATACTTTCCATGTAGTACCACTTGTATGTAAATTTCATGACTTCATCTGAAAAAGCAGCTTTACTGTCCTAACCCACCACCATTTTTGTTAGGAAGTCTTTATGTTGTTCAAAGAATGAAGTCAAAGGTTATCGGGAAGCCTCATGCTGGCTTGGGTCATCCTAGTATCCCTCAGGGGCTCCTGTGCTAGCGAAACAGAAATGGCAAAACCCTACAAGATCCAACATACAGCTCTGACGTATTAGAAAGAGTTAGGCAGAGGCTTGCTCTTCAAGCCCGTGTTCTCCCTGGCACCCAAATCTCGCTCATTTGGCTTCATGTTTCTTTGCTTGCTTATTTCCACTCTGGAGAAGCCTGTGTTCTCTTGGACACAGATTTCCCCCTTCCTCTCCTCTCCCGTCTTTCTGAGCAAGTTCTGTTCAATAAAAATGACCCTGCTTCACTATAAACAAGAACAAAACAGGATGAGAGAGTAGGGGAGATGACTCAAAGGGCCGGAGTGCATTCCTGGCACACAGACACCCAGAGTCTGATCTCTGGCATGGCAGGGTCCCCTGCACATGGGGGTGTGGCCCTCGTGGCCCCCACCCACCGCCTCTGGGCCTGGGCAGAACCTTTGACTTCTGCTGAGTACAACATACACTAGGTTCTGCCACCTTAACTGAAGATTCCTCCCAAGTAGCAACAGCCTAAGCAGAGGAAGGAAGAATGGACTAGTCTTCCTGAAGGCAAACTGAAGAGTGAAATCTCAGAAATTCTTATGGGCCAGAGGGGTAACATAGGGGCTGAGTACACGCTTTGCATGTGGGAGGATGGAGAGGGCTGGATCCTGAACAGCATCTGGTCCCCTGAGAATCATGGGTGACCCCCAAGGACAGAGCTAGGAGTCAGCCCCAAGCACTGTCGGATGTGGTCTTAACTCCCCACATCACCACCCTCCACCCAAAAACACATACTGCCAGGAGCGTCTTACTCGGAGGGATTTGTGCAGCTCCTGTATCTGGGAGGTCCTCGTCGTCTCAGGAATCTCCTTATGAAGCCGGGCTTCCTCTAAGCGCTTCATTGCCCTGTGACAGAAACCGTGCCAGGCACCCAAGCAAATGGGACTGTCTGCGTATCTCCTGTCATGTCATAGCCACTATAAAGCTAGGACGATAAAGCAGGTCTTCATACCCGAAGAGGAACCAAGGGGCAAAAGAACTGCTTTCTTCTCCTGCAGCAGTTATTTCCCAAAGCAGGTGATAACCCGGAGTGGGGCGGGTAACTGAAATGATCCGGGGAGGTAGTAGAACTGAATGCAACTGGAGGATGCTTTCTGTTTGTTTGTTAGTTTAAAGTGTGTGTGTGTGTGTGTGGGGGGGGGGGGGGGGGGGGGCCCTGGAGCAATAGCACAGCAGGTAGGGCATTTGTCTTGCATGCAGCCAACCCAGGTTTGATTCCCAGCACCCCATATGGTCCCCTGAGCACTGCCAGGAGTACTTCTTGAGTGCAGAACCAGGAGTAACCCCTGTGCATCGCGGGGTGTCACCCAAAAAGCAAAAAAAAAAAAAAAAAAAAGTGTGAGGGGCTGGGGAGATGGTACAGAGGGTTAAGGTGCTTGTCTTGCACACAGCCAACCGGGGTTTGAGTTTGATCCCCAGAACCTCATATGGCCCATCGAGCACTGCCAGCAGTGATCCCGGAGCGAAGAACCAGGAGTAAGCCCCGAGCCCCAGCAGGTGCAGCCCAAAACCAAACAAAAGAAAAAGAAAGCAGATGAAGGGGCAGGAGGGACAGTGCAGTGGGTAAGGCCCTTGCCTGCACGTGGCCGACCCAGGTTTGATACCTGGCACTCACATGTGGTCCCCTCAGACCTGCCAGGAGGGTTCCCGAGTACAAAGCCAGCAGTAAGCCCGAAAACTGCCAGGTGTGGCCCCTCCTCCCAGTGCAAAAAGGGCAGGTAGACATCACTGTCAAGGGGAGCGGAGTGATTTATTTTCCTGAAAAGGGTGCAGTAGGCCAAGGAATTTTGGGGACCTATGCTCCAGAGGTTCAGCTCACCTGGGCAGCGAGTAATTAGCGATCCACAGTCTAGCAACCTTTAGACTGTTCGGTCCCTCGTGGTACCAGGTCTGCTGATACTGAAAGGTAAAGAGCAAACTGTTAGGTCTGAAGTGTTCGGGGCCCTCCGCTTGCCGTTCTCTACTGCAGCTTTCCGGGCCCTGGGATGAAGGGCGCCAGAGGCACTTCCTGTCACGATGCTTCCTAAGGTCTTTGTGGGTGGTTTCTGGCTCTCTGTTACAAGTTACTTAGAGCAGAAATTCTATGGTTCTTTCCCGAATGGGAAATCATTTATCTTCCCTGAATGGGAACATCATGGACCTTCTACACCTACACCAGAATCACAAACTACTATTGCCAACAAACAACAACTCCTTCTGAAAATCTTCAAGGACACTTACTCCATCTCCAAGCAGTGCAAACCACACAGAAAAGAGAAAACGGGTAACAAATGACCTCTGCAGTTTTGTTACAGTAAAAGTATGAAGCTAGGCATAGTTACCTCTTCCTTGGATTTTTTAGACTTCTCATCATCTTTCTTGGTCTTTTTTAAGGCATCGGTACCGACTACTGAGAGGATATTTCTTAATCTGTAATAGAAAAGAGTTTTTAAGTTTCAGAATGGAAATGGAACTGAGATGATGAGGTGAAAAGGTAAAAAGCGGGCTTACCCTCCTTCTCTTAATCAAACCCCTAGTAAGCTTTTTTCTTTTTCTTGTGGGGTGGGTGGGTGGGGAGGAAAATGACACTTGGGGCCACACCTGGCATTGCTCAGGGCTTACTCCTGGCTCTGTGTTCGGGGATTATTTCCTGGAGGGGATCAGGGGACATATGGGATGCCAGGATCCAACCCGGGTTGGCTTCGTGCTAAACAAACTGCTGTACTATTATTGCCCTGGACCCTAGCAACCTTCTCTAATGGTCACCTTGTCACAGGGCCAAGGGACGACTCAGAGGAGAGAGGCTATGAGTTGGTTCCCTAACATGATCCTGAGCACTGCTGGGTGGACTCAAATACTGAACCTTCCAACCTGGTGGGCCAACCATGGTTGGGTAGGAGACCCCAGCCGTGTAATTTCTTCGAGTCTTCTTTACTTGAAGGTTGTGTGAGCTGAGATATAAATAATGTCCCTATTCATCTAGCATCGACCGGCCCCAGCACGCCACGCTATCACTCGATCTGCCAGGGCAGCCAACCCTCACGGGTACCACAATGTACAGCCACTAAACAATGTGCTCAGCAGACCACAGTGACCGAGAAACAACGCCTGGTTTCAAAACAGTCCTGGAAATTAGAGAAAGGTTGGTGGAACACAAAGTAACAGAGGTGGATGGATGGTGGGGAGACAGCTCAAAGTGCTGGAGTCCCTAGTCAGGTACAGGAACCCCAGCTGGGTCTCTGGCGTTGGAAAGTGCCCCAAGTACTGCCAGAAAATCCAAGCGAGGACTAACTCCTAGTACTGCCAGGTGTGGTTAAAAAACAAAACAAACCTTTGATTTTTAAGTAAATTATTTTTAATATTTTTATCTTTTTGGGCGACACCAGCAATACTTAGGAGTAACTACAGGCTCTGCACTCAGGAATTACTCCTGGTGGCCTTGGGGGACCTTATGGAATGTTTGGGATCGAACTTGGGTTGCCCACCTGCAAGGCAAACATCCTATCTGCTCCAGCCCCTATAAGTAAATTCTTATACTTTTTAATATACTGTTTGTTTGTTAGTTTAAAGTGTGTGTGTGTGGGGGGGGGGGGGCCTGGAGCAATAGCACAGCGGGTAGGGCATTTGCCTTGCATGCAAGCCACACACACACACACACACACACTAACACACACAACATACACCCCAGAAAACTGCAGTATTTGAAAATTACAAAGGAAGAAAGGTTTTAAAGGTAAGAATCAGCTAGACAGAAGGAAAAGCAAGAGGATTTAGCTAAATTAAACCAAAACCAAAACACAAATCTGAGACATTGTATTAAAACTTCTAGCTACAAATGTCAATTGGAATTTGGAACTGGAACCCTGGGACTAAGAAGATTTTAGCACCGCGCCCAGTGACCATGCAGAGGTCAAACCCTCGCATCCCATGAAAAGCATGTCCTCTAGTCCCTTGAGCTATCACAATGGCTCAGATGATTGTTGAAGAAAATAATATTTAGACTTATCCCTGGGGGTGCTTACTTACAAAGGGTCAGGTGTCAAAGAAGGCCTCTTTGGGAGTCAAAGCAATAGTACAGTGAAGGAGCTGGGAGTAAGCCCTGCGCACTACCAGGTGTGACCCCAAAACCAAACCAAATCAAACCAAAACAGGCTTCTCTGCGGAGCTAACACTTATGCTAAAACCAAGAGGAGAGAGGCTCTCAAAGAAGTGGAACAAAAAGAGAATATTAAGTGTGTTGAAAAGAGCTTGAGTATTCTGGGAGAGCACGGTGGCTGCCAGGCGCCAGTGACTGGGGAGGAGCGTCCAGGTGCCTGAAGAGCCTGCAGAGACGATTAGTTCTTTACTCCGTAAGAAGACACCATCGACTAGGAAGCACGTCATGCATGGGGCCACCCCCATAGGCAATCGTCTGGATAGAAGAACAGAGGCAATAGAACAATAGAAAAGAAGACACGCCAATCTATTTCAGAAGGAGACAGACTAGTGTGAGCTGCTGCACTGTGAAGGTGGACACTCACTGGAAACTGCACACGTGACAGTGCAGTCGCCAAGGAGGGGGATCAGACAGGTGAGTTCAACCAAGACATCTAAGTGCGGGGCCCTGAGAGACAGCACCGAGGTTAGGTGCTTAACCTTTCCTTTCCCCTTAGGACGCACCGGGGATGCTCCTGGCTATGTGAACAGGGATTACTCCTGGTGGTGCTCAGGAGACCCTGTGGAGTGCCGGGGATCAAACCTGCGCTGGCCACGTACAAGACAAACACCCTATCCTCTGTACTATCGCTCCAGGGTCAAGGTGCTTGACCTTAACTTTGCATGCTGCCAACGCATTTCACTCCTTAACATCAAATATGGTCCCCTAAGCACAGCTGGCTGCATCCCCAAAGCCTCTCTACCCTTGTCCCCTAAAACAAACAAACAAACAAACAAACAAACAAACCAAAAAAACCCAACAAAATGAAACCAAAGACCCATAAAAATCCCAGAGCCGCAAGTGTGGAAATTATGGGCTGCAAAGGTTCCGGAGACCTGGAGCTCCGAGGGCAGGCACAGTGGGAAGGCCGTGGGAGTGGGCCTGTGACCAGTGCAAGTGTAAGGTAATTGGGGACCCAGGGTAGGGCCAGAGACAGAGCACATGCAAAGGATGTCTGAGGCCGAGTCTGTTCCACGGTACTGTGTAACCCCTCCTCCCATGTCAAGGAGTGGTCTTTATGAAAACACAGAATGGGGGATTATGGCTCAATGCCTGGCATGTGCAAGGGCAAGACATGCGCGCGCGCACACACACACACACACAAACACACACACACACACTAACACACACAACACACACCCCAGAAAACTGCAGTATTTGAAAATTACAAAGGAAGAAAGGTTTTAAAGGTAAGAATCAGCTAGACAGAAGGAAAAGCAAGAGGATTTAGCTAAATTAAGCCAAAACCAAAACACAAATCTGAGACATTGTATTAAAACTTCTAGCTACAAATGTCAATTGGAATTTGGAACTGGAACCCTGGGACTAAGAAGAGCAAGTATTTAGAAGGGCACCTTTCTCGACGTTCAGCAGGACCTTCTCCAAAAAGCGTGATGGGCTCCCCCAAGGCTCGGAGGCAAGCCTTGACTTCGGAGTCGTCCGTGGAGACATTGATTTGTCGGGCTCGCTTCCTCCTCTCAAACTCTGCTAACACCTCAGCCTGACGTTCACTAATGTGCTCTTCAATTTCAAACACTTCTCCTATAAAAAAGATCAAGGAGCATCAGCATCAGATTTTCTTCAAGGAGGGGAGGAAAATGGTTTCTTGTGAACAGATTTATTATATTATTTATTATACACCTTTTTATACACTTTATAGGTATTGCTGTTTCTCAGTTTACTAAATTAGGTCAAACAAAACTCAACGTAAGAAAACAGTCCAAGTCATCTAATGTCATTTGGCATCCTTACGCTTACACACAAACACATTGCTTAGATGAGAAAGTGAGGGCAGAGATTCTAGCGCAGAGTTCAATACGTGAATTATCTCAAAAATGGAAATGCTATTTTAACAATTGCAGGGCCACAGAAATAGGACAGGGGTTTAGGTGCTTGTCTGGCATGCAGTCGACTCTTGCTCAGTCCTCAGCACCAGGTAGTCTTCTGGTACTATAAGGAGTGAGCCCCGAGCACAGAGCTGGGAATAAATCCCGTGAGTTCTGCTCGAACCAACCTCTGCTTCCGCCCAGCAAAACTCAAAATGATTGCCAAAGCAATTCTCTATAGCAGTCCAAGTATAAATTTACAAATATAAGCAATAAACAAAAACCCTTATAAAGTTTTTTTTTTTTGATACTCTAGAAGCTAGTTTTAAAAGTCATAGCAAAGGGGCTGGAGAGACAGTACAATAGATAAGGAAGACGCATGCTGTGCACCCAGCCGATCTGGGTCCTATGCCCTCCCTGCTATCCCATATGGTCCCCTGAGCCCCATCAGGTGTGATTCCAGAGTTCAGAGCCAGGAGTAACCTCTAAGCATTGCTGGGTGTGGCTCCCTCTCCCCTGAAAATAGATTAAAAAAAAGTCACACCAAATACAGGCATTTAAATAAAATGAGAAGTGAAGTGGTGATGCCATTAAGTTTAAAATACATCTGTGCAGCTGGGGTTGGAGTGATAGCACAGCGGGTAGGGCAATTGCCTTGCACACGGCCGATCCGGGTTCGATTTCCAGCATCCCATATGGTCCCCTGAGCACTGCCAGGAGTAATTACTGAGTGCAGAGCCAGGATGCATCGTTCGGTGTGACCCAAAAAGAAAAAAAAAAATCTGTGCAGGGATGGAGTGATAGTACAGTGGGTAAGGCATTTGCCTTGCATGAAGCCGACCTTGGTTCAATTCCCGGCACCCCATAATGGTTCCCTGAGCATTTCTGTGCAGAGCCAGGAGAAGCCTGAGTACTACCAGGTGTGAGACAAAAACCAAAAAATAAGTTAATTAAAAAAATCCAGCAAAACACCCCCCCCCCAAAAAAAAACCAACCTTCTGCAGTGCTTGAATAATGTCTAAATTTATGTCATTCTAAAAATTAATCTGTGAGTAGGCTGGAGAGAGAGGCACTTAACTTGCACACAGCTGACCTGGGTGCTGGTTAAGTGCCTAGCCCACTGTATTATCAACAGGAGGGATCCCTGAATAGAGCACAGAGCCAGGAGCAAGCCATGAGTACTGCTGGGTGTTGCCCTCAAACAAACAAACAAAACTAAACAACAAAAAAACCTTCAAAAAATCAACTACCGTAGGACCCAACAATTCCACTCCTGAGCAGCCCACCTAAGAACACAGAAACTGAACTTGAAGAGATACGTGCACAACTATGTGGTTTTTGTTCTGGGGTTTGCAGCTGACAGCTTGTGGTCTTGGGATCCCATCTGGAGCCCAGGATCGGTTCACGGTCAGACAAGGCAAGGGCCTTAGCCCCTGTACTATCTCTTGGGTCCCTGTACTCCTGTATTAAACGCGGCACCACTTAAAATAGCCAGGATATGAGCCAGAGACACAGTACGGCAGGTAGGGCATTTGCCTTGCACACAGCCGACCTGGGTTTGATCCCTGGCACCACAGAAGGTCCCCCAAGCTACTAGGAGTCACTCCTGAGCACAGAGCAAGGAGGAAGCCCCGAATGCCACCGGTTGTGGCCCCAAAACCAAACAAGGTAAGTAAAACAGCCAAGATCTGGAAACAACCCAAAAGCGGAATGAGAGATGAAACGAATAAAGCAGGGATAGAGACTTTTTCTGTCGAGGGCCATTCTGAGGGACCACAGCAATAATATAATGGGTAAGGTGTTTGCCTTGCACAGGGCTGACCTGGGTTCGATCCTGGTCCCGAACATTGCCAGGCGTAATTCCTGAGTGCAGAGTTAGGAGTAACCCCTGAGCACTGTCAGGTGTGACCCAAAAAGTGGCCTCCTGCACAAGGAACAAAAGAGGGTGGAGGGCATCTGGCTATTCTCAGGCCGCAAACCAAAGGTAGGTATGCTGCAGAGAGCTGACATCTGGGTCAGTCCCGTCAGGTCCAGGGGCCAGACCAGTGCAAGGCCCTGGGTTCAACCCCCGACACCACATGTTACCCTAAGCACCTTTGCCGTGACACTGGTGGGTCCCCTAACCCACAGATATGTGATCCGTCCCACTAAATATGTTCTTTTTAATTTTCAGTGAAGCAAGGTAGTTTTTTATTGAATGAAACTTGCTTAGAAAGATGAGAAGGAAGAGGGAAGATGTGTGTTCAAGAGAAGACAGGCTTTTCCAGACTGAAAATAAGCAAGCAGAGAAACAGAGGAGAGAGAAAAGAGCAAGCGCCAAACATTACTATTTTTTTTAAAGGCATTCAGAGAATTACACAGTACAGTGGACATGGCATTTTCCTTGCATGTGGCAACCTGAGGTTCATCTCTGACAACCCCTGAACACCGCCAGGAGTGACTCCTGAGCACAGCCAGGCATGGCCCCCAAACAGCAAAAGTATTCGCTATAGAGACTCTGAGCACCGGAGGCAAAATCGGACTCAGAGACTGTATCTTACCAGAAGTGATGTTGATGTTTCCTGCTTCAATGCCTGCTTTAAGCCCTTCTTTCCCCAAAATCCCAGACTCGCCCTTCAACAGCCGTTCCCGCTCCTTCTCTTCCAGGCTTCCATAATAGATGTGCGGCTTCTTCACCAAGGGTGCCACCAAGTCGTCGGGGGCCTTCGTTTTGGTCGCCTGCAAAAAAGATCAAGGCTTCGATGAATCCTCAGTAACCCCAGCAACTTGCTAGGTTTTCCCGCAAGATGCCCCTCATCAGGAACAACGGACAAGACGTGCCTTCATCCGGGCTGGACAGAGAGTCCAGCGGGGGTTGGGGTTTGGGGAGGGGCTGGCACTTGCCTGGCAGGCCCTTGACCTGAGTTGGTTCCCTGCCCCTTCCAGGGGTGATCCCTGAGCACAGAGCAGGAAGAAGCCCTGAGTACTGCCGGGTGGGACCCCCCCCCCAAACAAACAAAAGAATGTGTCTTCACTGACTGAAGGGGTGGGGGGTGGGTGAGAGTGCTGGTGCTGGGCTCAGCGTCACATGCATCTTTCACCTAGTGCACAGGGAGAGGTGGAACATAAATGAACTTCCCAGGGTGAGCTTCCCCCCCCCCCCCCCCCCCCGCAATCAAAGGTTCCCTTTGGGGGGCTTCAGCGAGAGCACGGAAGGCAGGACGTTCGCCCGGCACGCCACCGACCCGGGTTCTATCCCCAGCACTGCCGGGAGCGATTCCTGAGTGCGGAGCCAGGCAGGAGCGACCCCTGTGCACCGCTGGGTGTGCACCCCCCCCCGCCGCCCCCCCCAAAAAAGCGAAACAAGAGAAAAACCCAAGCCAACCAACAAAAAAGTCCACTTTGGGAGGGGTTTCATTCATTCGGGAGGGAAGTGCGATCTCTTCTGGGACGGACGGACACGGGGTCAAGGCCGGGAGCACTGCAAGGGCTGACTTTGGCCGGGGAGAAGGCGAAGACGAACGGGGCGGGGGCGGGGGCGGGGAGCCCCGTCTCGGGTGGGACTTCCGGGCGGGGGCCGGGAGAGACGAGCCCGGAGGCCTCGCGCGGGTGGAGAGACCCGGTCTCGGGCCGGCCAAGCCCCCCCCCCCACCCCGGAGCGCGGCAGGGAGCGACCGCGGGCGCTCGGGGGACGCCGTGGGCCGTGCCGAGGAGCCTCGGGGCGCGGGAAAGAAAACGCCCGTGGACAGCACGCAGGGTGCGCGGAGGCCAGGCCGGACCCGCGCCCGCAGCCCGGCCCTCCGCGCTCGCCAGCACCTCGGCCTCCTCACGGGCCGCTCCCCCGCGCCCCGCACCCGCGGCCCTCCCGTACCGTGGAGGAGGAGGCGGAGGAGGCGGAGGAGGCGGAGGAGGCGCGCGAGGCGGCCATGCCGGGCTCCGGAGCGCCGAGGCTGCCGGCAAAGCCCGAGCCTGCGTGCCGGACCGTGTCCCGCGCGCGCCCAGCCGGGACAGCGGAAGCGCGTCACGGGCAGGAAGTCGGTCCGAGAGCCGCGCGGGAGCCTGGGCGTCGCGGAGCATCACGGGAACTGTAGTCTGCGCCGCCGCTTCCGGGCCGGGGCCGCGGAGCAAAGCGCGCGGCGGGCGGGCGGGCGGCGGGCGAGGTTTTCGGCCAGGGGGGCCCGGAGCATTCTGGGAGATGTAGTCCGCCGCGTGGCGGGGCCGCTGGGCGGGCGGCGGGCGAGGTTTTCGGCCAGGGGGGCCCGGAGCATCCTGGGAGATGTAGTCCGCCGCGTGGCGGGGCCGCTGGGCGGGCGGCGGGCGAGGTTTTCGGCCAGGGGGGCCCGGAGCATCCTGGGAGATGTAGTCCGCCGCGTGGCGGGGCCGCTGGGCGGGCGGCGGGCGAGGTTCCGGGAGCTGGCTCGCTCGCCGAGAGGTAGGTGCGCGGCAGCGCGCGACTCCGGGCGGAGCTCGAGACGGGGCCGGAGGCAGCCGGCGCCGCGGGCCCGGGAGAGGCTGCAAATCGGCCTGGAGTCAGCGCCCCCGACCATGCGTTGCCATGGAGACCTGGGCCCGGGGCGGCCGGTGCAGCCCTGCGACCGCGGAAGGCGCGCCTGCCTGCCCGTCGGCTGTCGGGGATGCTCCGGGGGCCGCCTCCGAGCGGGGTGAATTTGGGCGCCCTGGGACCCTGGGGTGCACGGCGAAGGATTAAACCCAAAGGGCCCCCTAGCGCCCAGAGGACACGAAGACCGGCCGTTGGAGCGTGCCCCGCCTTTGTGTGCGTCTCCCTGGGGGTCTTGGCGTCCGAGTCCCCGCGAGATGAGGGCTAGGAGTAGCCCCGGCGGCCAGCGGACGCCGCGTGGCCACGTGGCTCTGGGCGCCCAGGCGTGCGCCCTTGGGAGAAACGAGGCTCAGCCTCGCTGAGCTGGTGGGGATGTTTTTTTTTTTTTTTAAAATGCTGATTTCGCAAGCTGGAGCGACCCTCCTCGCCCCAGTGACATGTGATACTTTTGGATTATGTTTTATTTATGCTCCTTCCTTTGGTGATTTCAGTGATGACAGGGCGCCGCCAGAGCTTGCTTGCACACTTGGTGACGGGGAGGGGATCCCAAATAGCAGCCCCGCTGCGGTTCCACTGGTGCATGTGGGAAACAGAACCTGCGACCTCAGGTGCTCTTACACTGAGTGCTCCCCGAGGCCAGTAATGATAGCGTTCAGAAACTAATAATTATAGCTGTACGTGCTTAGAATGACTTTCGCTTGGGGGCTAATCGGACAGGGGTTAAGGCACTTTTGCCTTGCATGCACCTGGTCTGGTCCCTGCTCCCCCCCCACCCGCCCCAGCACCCGGGAATGATCCCTTGAGCACAGAGAGGAGTCAGCTCTGAACGCGGCAGGGCATGGACTGAACGGTGGCTTAAGCAAGAGGCTGAGCTCAGGCTTTGCATACAGGAGCCCTGGATGGACACCCCTACCCCTTACCCTTCACACCAATTTCTTGACTACAGCTGGGGATAGCGCTCAGCACCACCAAACCCTCCCCGATTCATCAAAAACAAGTTAAGGGGCTGGAAAAATTGTACAGCAGGCAAAGCTCAATCCTCAGGCATCCACTGTGATTCCCCCTAGCACAGCCAAGCATGACCCCTGAATGTAGGCGAAAGCCCTGAGCATCAGGAGATACAGCTCTACCGCAACCCCCACCCCCCATATTTTTTTTTTAAATAAAAATGCGTGAGCTTAATTTTGTGTTCTCAGACTCTTGCTCCTTCACGTGCTTGTCTTCTCTGCCCTTGGTCCCATTTCTCTGCCTGTCCCAAGCCTCCTCCAAGGGGGAAGTTGGCCGCCTCCCTGTCCCCAGGCTCCCAGAGAATACTGGGTTGAGTACTGGGTGACACCTCTGCATTACCCTGTCAGGGTTCTGACTACACTGTATTGCAATCTTGTTTATTTCCCCCACAGAAGTGATTGCGCCTTTTCACACTGGATCTGGAGCAACCGGAAGTGCTTGTTTAATGAATGACCTGCCCTTCTAGGACCCGAGGGATAGCCCGGTGAACTGGTGAGTTAGAAGGTGTTTATATGAGATTCCGTAAACTGATTTAGCATTTAGAGGTGAGCATGAATCACAGTTGTGCGTATAGTTGATCAAGTGCAATAGTTTATATAAAAAATAGTTTATATAAATTATATGTATATATACCCTTCCCCTAGCTTGATTGAGTTAAACTATTAGATAGATGTATATAAACTATATGTATATCTTGCTCTACTACTGAGCTACCCCCCCAGCCCCAAGATAGATATTTCTCGTAGGAACCTCACCAGGTGGTGCTCAGGGGCTCAGGACTACTTTTTTCTAATGTTTTTGTTTTCATTTTTTTGTTTGATTTTGGGCCACTCGGCGGGGCTCAGGGTGTACTCCTGGCTCTGTGCTCAGGAATCACTTCTCGTGGGTAAGAAGGACCATATGGGGGTGCCAGAAAACAAGACATAACAAAACCGATTTTTGTTTTATCCCTTTAATGATGATGTCGTGGGGCTGGAGCGATAGCACAGCGGGTAGGGCGCTTGCCTTGCACGTGGCCGACCCGGGTTCGATTCCCAGCATCCCGTATGGTCCCCGGAGCACTGCCAGGAGTAATTCCTGAGTGCATGAGCCAGGAGTAACCCCTGTGGATCGCCGGGTATGGACCCCCCCGAAAAAAAAGAATCATGTCATAACTTTATGCTCTTCATAGACTTTTCTTTGAATGTGACTGATGGTTAGATTAAGCTGAATTGTTCAGAATTCTTTCTCAAGGATTCTGGCTTGCTGTTTTTAGTTTCTCAGGAAAGATCAAATTCCTCCTTGGAATTACAGAATTGAGGATCTCTGTCACTTACATCTTAGAAGTCTATGTGTGAAAAAAAATTTGGCCAGAGAGATAACTCAGAGAACTAGAGTGTATGCTTTGTATGCGTGAGTGTGGGGTTCCTGCCACCACCTGGGCTCTTGAGCACCAAACCAGGTCGCCCCTGCTTACTGACGGGTGTGCCCCTCCCCCCAAACAAAAAACCCAAACAAACAAGTTTGCAGGTAAGTTCAAACAGGCAGTAGAGCAGTTCTTTTTGGAACTTAAATTTGCATGCTTACAAATTGATTTGTCATTTGTGCCCTCTGATTTTTCTTTCCTCCCTGCCGCTTCTGACAGCCATTCCCTGGATCTGGGCCTCTGTGGATTTCAGGATGCTGCGACGGAAACCAACCCGCCTGGAGCTGAAGCTTGATGACATTGAGGAATTTGAGAGCATTCGAAAGGACCTGGAGGTCAGAGCACAGTTTCTGAACCGAAATACTATTTATTTGTTTGTTATTTTGGTTTTGGGACCACACCCAGCGATGCTCAGGGCTTAACTCCTGGCTCTGCACTCAGGAATTACCCTTGGCAGCTCTCGAGGGACTATGTGGGATGCTGGGGATTGAACCCCAGTCTACCACGTGCAAGTAAATGTAAATGTCCTCTACCTGGTGTACTATCTCTAAGGCCCCCTTAAGGACAGTTCTGTTGTAGTTTTGTTTTGTTTTGTTTTTTGGTTTTTGGGTCACACCTGGCGATGCAAGGGGTTACTCCTGGCTCTGCACTCAGGAATTACTCCTGGCAGTGCTCAGGGGACCATATGAGATCCTGGAAATCGAACCTGAATCAGCCGCATGCAAGGCAAACGCCCTACCCCTGTGCTACCCCTCCAGCCCCTTAACGACTATTTAAAAACAGTAGCTTTAACTATTGTGCTCTGATCTCTTATGCCAACAGTTTACCTGAACTCTACATTTGGATGTTTTACAGGCATTTCAGGCCTAATGTTTTACTGGTTTCCTTCGGCTGCATAACAAACTGCAACAAACTGGATGGATTATAAGGGCAGGGATTCCTTGTTTCACAGTTCGTTAGGCAGAAACCAGTACCCTGGCTGGGGGCGGGTGTTGGGGGGGGCCCTGAAGGCAGTTCTATATGGTTCTGCTCTGTCTTGAGAGTAATGAAGGCGGAGGACAGCCTGTCCCTGAGCAGTAAGACCTGTGGGAAATTGGTATTTCATTAGTTTTAGTGAAAAGTCTCCGTCCGAAGACAGCAGTTATTAATGGTGAAGGACTCAGAAATGTTTTCCTTCCATCTGGATGGTCTCGGAGTTTCTCAGCATATATTAAGTTGTAGCGTCTTTTGCTTTTTTATTTATTTAGTTTTGGTTGTGTATTTGAGGCCACCCTGATGGTGCTGGGAGCAGCTCCTGACTCCGGGTAGTGGACCCCTGGGAGTTGAGCCCTGTACTGCCACATGCAGAACATGCATTGGGCCCCGAGAAGCATATCTGCAGCCCTGGGTCTTTTCATTTTATTTTATTTTTTATTCTCAGTGCAGGGTTCAAACCCAGAGCCTCCCACCAGGCAAGCCCTCAAATGCTTAGCTCTAACCTCAGCCCCATCTCCGTTCTCTGCCTTTTAGAACTTGTTTTCACAAAGGACTTACTAGTTTCTTATTTGATTCACTCTTGGTATTTTTGAATTGGTATTTTTGTTTGTTTATTTTGGGGCCTCTACACGGCGATGCTCAGGGCTTTCTCCTGGCTCTGCACCCAGGAATCACTCACTCCTGGCAGTGCTCAGGGGACCATATGGCTTGCCAGGGATCAAACCCAGGTTGGCCACATACAAATCAAGTGCCCTACCCACTATCCTCACTCTCCAACCCCTTGACATTGATATTTAAATGCTCATAGTTCAGTGCTAAAGAAATAGTTCAGACATTAAGTGCTAGCCTTGTGTACATCTGACCAAAGTCTGATTTTCAGGAAAACATTGCCCCTGAACACTGCCAGGTGTGTGGCATCCCATCCACCCCCTCAGAATGCAGATGCTCACAGTTCTGGCGCCAGGGATGAATCAGCAGCAGAGCACTTGCTTAAAGTGCTATGTTCATGCATAAAGTCCTGTGTTCAAATCGGGCGCTGCTAGAATAAAACAATAGCACAGCGGTAGGGCGTTTGCCTTACAAGTGGCCAACATGGCCGACGCGAGTTCGATTCCTCTGCCCCTCTCGGAGAGCCCGGCAAGCTACCGAGAGTATCTCGCTGGCACGGCAGAGCCTGGCAAGCTCCCCGTGACGTATTCAATATGCCAAACACAGTAACAAGTCTCATGATGGAGACGTTACTGGGCCCACTCGAGCAAATCGAGGAACAATGGGATGTCAAGTGATCAAGTGATCAAAATAGATAATAAAGATATTTCCAGTCTCCCAGTTCAGTAGAAAGTGTTGAAGAATGATGGTGATCCCGGTTCAGTGGAGCCATTCTTTTTTTTTTCTTTTTGGGTCACACCGGGCGAGGCACAGGGGTTACTCCTGGCTCTGTACTCAGGAATTACTCTTGGTGGTGCTCAGGGGACCATGTGGGACGCTGGGAATCGAACCCGGGTTGGTCGTGTGCAAGGTGAACGCCCTACCCACTGCGCTATCTCTCCAGTCCCAGTGGAACCATTCTTCTGTTAAGAAATTCCAGATAACTATCTTCGCTCTTCTTTTGCTTTTGTTCCCCAAACACGGGTCATGGGAGGAATGGGGAGTGACTGTAGTTCTGTGGGGATTTATGTTCTGGTCCCTGAGTGGCACCCAGGGCCTTGTCCCATGCCTGTAAGGAGTACCCTCTGTCACTGACCCTGTTCCTACCGCTCTGTTCACTTTCTTAAGCTTAAGGGGCCAGGGAGATAGTGCAGGGCTATGGTACTTGCCTTGCATGCAGCCGAACCTGGTTCAGTCTCTGGCACTGCTAAGGATGATTTCTGAGCACAGACCCTTCCTTAGAATAGAGGACCAGAACTCCCCTCCCTGAAACTCATATTATCTGATAGTTTTACAGTGAGGCAGTAGAAGCTACTGGGACACAGATTAGTCCCTTAAAGGATCAAAGGAAGACAAAGATTTTGTGGATTCTGCTTCACTTGTTACTAAGAGCAAAATCCTTTTTCTGAACACAAAACGCAGCCCCCTCATTCAGTCTTTTGGATAAAATATTCCTGTGTTATATTTTGTCCCATTTGCTTTGTTTGGTACTTTTCATTTCATAGTGTTGTTCGAGTGTAAATTTCTGTTTCCAGTGGTTTTACTAGTTACATTATTCTCTAGTCTTTGGAATAGGCTTTTGCTAAAACATTCTATTCTTTCCCTGGTCTGGTTGTTATTTTTTGATGTGCGGGGGTTTCCCGAGTGACTTAGGCTGTGCTCTGAGGGCTAAACAGTACTGGGGATTGAATTTGGGCCTCAGTCGTGCGTGGCCTGTGCTAAAGTTCTTCCGTCTGTCTCCCAGTCTAAAGGTTTCCTTTCTTCCTTCCTTCCTTCCTTCCTTCCTTCCTTCCTTCCTTCCTTCCTCCCTCCCTCCCTCCCTCCCTCCCTCCCTCCCTGCCTCCTTCCCTCCCTCCTTCCATTCTTCCCTCCACTCCCCTTCCCTCCCCTCTCTCCCCTCCCCTCCCTGTCCTCCCCTCCCTGCAACAGTGGTGGTTAGAGTCCAGTAGGTCCACATCCAGCTCTCCCAGGATGGCGGGGTGGGGGGCACACAGTGCGAGGAATCAAACCGGGGGCTAAGTGTGTGCTCTGCCACTCAAGCCCCAATCCCAGCTCCTTTGTCGACGATGGACATTTCACCTTCCACTTCTTGCTCTAAGCCACCCTCACAGCACACTCCATCCTCCCCTCTCCCTTGTGTGACGTAGCCTTCCCTCTGTCATGGCCCTGAGTAGCCGTTTCCCCGCGAGACTGACATCTTGGAAGTTGAGATCCATCTTCTCAGTTTATTTTGTTTGTTTTATTTTTGTTTGGGGGCCACACCCAGTGGTGGTCGGGGCGGGTAGGGCGTTCGCCTTACAAGCGGCCAACATGGCCGACCCGAGTTCGATTCCTCCGCCCCTCTCGGAGAGCCCGGCAAGCGACCGAGAGTATTCGATATGCCAGACACAGTAACAACAAAGTCTCCAATGGAGACGTTACTGGGCCCGCTCGAGCAAATCGACGATCAACGGGAGAGCCTTTACCTTTTACCTTTACCTGTGCTCAGGAATCACTCCTGGCAGGTTGGAGGGACCGTATGGGATGACAGGAATCAAACCAGGGTCACCGCGTGCAAGGCAACTGCCCTCCCTGCTGTACTATCACTCTGGTCCAGAGGGCCTATCTTTCACCACTGTATCCCCATTGAACCTGTAATCACCCAAACCTGGGGTTTCAGTATATCGATCCTGTTTCTTCTGAGTCCTTCCTAAACCACATGAATGGAATTTGTTAATGGAAAGAATAACGCCTGTGGCCGAAGCAATAGCACAGCAGGTAAGGCATTTGCCTTGCACATGGCCGACACAGGTTCAATCCCCGGCATCCATATGGTCCCCCGAGCACCACTAGGAGTAATTCCTGAGGGCAGAGCCAGGAGTAACCCCCGAGCATCACTGAGTGTGACCCAAAAAGAAAAAAAAAAAGAATAACATCTGAATTCTGAACCTTTTATGGTTTCAGACCCGTAAGAAGCAGAAAGAAGATGTGGAAGTTGTTGGAGGCAGTGATGGAGAAGGAGCCATTGGACTCAGCAGCGACCCCAAGAGCCGGGAACAAATGATAAACGACCGCATTGGCTATAAACCCCAGCCCAAGCCCAACAATCGCTCATCTCAGTTTGGGAGTTTCGAATTTTAGTGGTGGTTTATGTTGCAGGCCAGAGCCCGTGCACGGAGCGGACGGACAGCGCAAGCTCAGACAAGTTTAGAGAATGGAGTGTTTGTGGTCACGCAGACTGGTCCACTTCTGGGAGAGAAAGAGAGATTCTTCCGGTGAGATGACTGACACCTAACCTCTATAAGCTGAAATGCAGACAGAAATTTGACTCTCGAAAATGTCTGATTTTTGTTTTTAAAAATAAATTTATTTTTGGAAGCGTGTGTCGCATCCTTAATGAAGTCAGTGACACTTCATCCCAGACTTTACGAGGTAATAGCTGCCTAAGGGATCATTATTCTTCCCACCTTTATTAAGAGACACTGTGCACAGAACATTTCTAGCTGGTTCTTGTTATTTTCATTTAAATCATTTGTTCAGGACTGGGGAGGTGATTCTAGTGCTAGAGCATATACCTTATATTTGCAAGGTTCTGGGTTTGATCCCTAGCACCACATGAGCCCAGGACAATGGATATGATCCTGGTGCTTAAAAAAAATCACTTATTCAGATAGTGTTTGCTGAGGGGGGCTAGAGCAATAGTACAGCGGGTAGGGCACCTGTCTTGCATGCAGCTGACCAGGGTTTGACACCTAGCATTCCACATCATCCCCTGAGTACCGCCGGGAGTGATGAACCAGGAGTAACCCCTGAGCATCACAAGGCTTAAAAAGGAAGTGTTTGCTGAGCACCTACTATGTGTCAGGTACTGATCTAAGCACTTTCTAACATTTGTGAACAAAACCGGCAAAGACTTCTGCCCTTGTGAAGTTGCTGTGAACTTGGCCAAATTAAGAGTTTCCAGAATCTATTTCCAGAATGGTTTTATAGCTGCCTGGTCTTAACTTTGTGGAGAAGGGCAGTGGATGCTCCTAATAGTATAACAGTGTTCCTACATTTCAGTTAGCAGGAATAGCAGGTATGTTCCTAACGAAAAGTATTCCTACATTGCAAAATCCCTTCCTTCTTGGCCTTCCGAAGAATTACTCCTACTTGGGGGCCAGAGTGATAATACACCAAATACGGCACTTGCTTTGCACTTGGCTGACCTGGGTTGGATCCCCGGCATCCCATATAGTTTCCCAAGCCCTGCCTGGAGTGATTCCTGAGTGCAGAGCCAGGACTAACCCCTGAGCTTCACTGGGTGTGGTCCCCAAACCAAAAAAAAAAAGTAATTAAAAATTAAAAAAAGATTCTCCCACTTGGAGCCAATCTGAGAGGCTGAAGATGTTAAAATCATGTCTTTCTGTTTTCACTGTTCAGATCTGCCACAGGAAGGAACATCTGTAAGAGAAAGGACCCTCGCTGGGGCTGAAGCCCAGCAGTAGAGCTCTGGCCTCACATATGAAGCCCTGGGTATGCTTCCCAGCACTGCAAAAACTGAAAGAAAAAAAAATGAAAGAAAAAGACCCCAAAGCACTAGGCTTTCTGAGGTATTTTACAATTTTTTTCCCTTTTGAGTCACACCCAAAGATGCTCGGTGGTTATTCCTGGCTCTGCACTCAAGAATTACTCCTGGCAGTATTGGGGGACCATATGGGATGCTGGGGATCCAACCCAGGTCAGCTGTGTGCAAGGCAAACGCCCTACCCACTCTACTATCACTCTGGTCATCTCTGTTTTTAAATAGTGGTACTGTGGACCACTAGGTCCTCACACATGCAAGGTTAGTACTATATCGACTGAATTACGTCCTGGCCCATCTCAGGTGTTGATTCACTTAGGCTTTTGAGACACACCGAGTATGCTCGGGTAGGACTTCCTCTTGACTCGGTGTTCAGAACTCTATACTGGCACTCTCCAGCACTCTGCACTATCTCTCTGGCTCCCCTAGAGTGGTATTTGTGTGTGTTGGTGTGTTTTCCATTTGGGGGCCGCATCAGGTGATGTTCAAGGTTTACTGCTGTCTTTGTGCTCAAGAATCTGTGCTCTATGCCCCACCAAGAGCTCTATGGTGAACCCTGTGTGGTGTTGGGGTTGAACCTGGGCTGGCCACATGCAAGGCAAGTGCCTTACCCACTGTACTATAGCTCTGGCTCGCCATGGAATGTTTTAAATCTAATAGAGGGAAACCGAGGACATTGGTGGAGGGTAGTGGACACTGGTGAAGGGATTGGTGTTGTAATGATATACGCCTGAAACTTAATGAAAAATGTCTTAGTGATTCTTATTCATGGTAATTCAATGTGCAATAAAAAATCAATATAAAAAGTATGAAGAGGACTGGACAGATTGTACTGCAGGTAGGGCACTTGCCTTGCCCATGGCCAACCTAGGTTCAATTTCCAGCATCCCACTTGGTCTGCAAACCTACCAGGAGTGATACTGAGTGCAGAGCTAGAAGTTCAGGTTACCTCAGAACACTACGGGGGGTGACTCAAAAGAAAAAATGTGCAAGAATCAGAGAGAGGAGATGATATAGCTCAGAAGATATTTATTCTTCTGGTATTCTCTAGGACTTCCAATTTTCTTACAGTATTAAAAACACATCACGCCTCCTCCAGATGGAACCCGGGTGACCATGAGCTTCTACAAGCATAGCTCGAGTATGCGGGAACCAGGACTTGGACTTTTACTCCAAACTGCTGGGACCACCCCGGCTCCCAGGTAACCTCTGATTCCAGAAGTCATGCCCACAACCCGCCCCCCAGCGCCATCTTTACAGCACACAGCTACAGAGAAGAAAGGCCGCCGGGTGGCTCCACAGCTCCCGGAGAATGCACCAGGTCCCAAAAAGAGCCGAGATCACTGGGAAGTCCCAGAGTCCCAGATGGGGTAGGTGCCGCATCCTGCCTCCTCCAGATGGAACCCCAGTGACCATGAGCCTCTACAAGCATAGCTTGAGTATGCGGGAACCAGGACCTTTACTCCAAACTGCACGTCCGCTTATACAGCCACGCGACATCTCCCTATATACAAAGTGATCAATGGAAAGTAAATCATCCAACGTTTCTCCCTGAAAACCAGGCTTAACTCTTATACAGGCCACAACACCCAATGGGTGAGAGAGAACAAAAGGGAATGTCCTGCCACAGAGGCAGGGTGGGATGGGGGAGTAGGTGGGAGGGTGGGAGGGATACTGGGATCCGTGGTGGTGGGAAATGGTCACTAGTGGAGGGATGGGTATTCAAAATAAATAAATTTAAAAAAAACCACATCAACGGGGGCTGGAGTGATAGCACAGCAGGTAGGGTGTTTGCCTTGCATGCGGCTGACCAGGATTCAATTTCCAGCATCCCATATGGTCCCCTGAGCATGGCCAGGAGTAATTCCTGAGTGCATGTGCCAAGGGTAACCCCAGTGCATTGCCAGGTGTGTCCCAAAAAGCAAAAAATCCCAACCAACCAACCAACCAACCAACCAAACAAACAAACAAAAAAACACATTAGGCAGGTTGGGGAGAGCTCAATATGCTGAGTGTATATGCTTCACATGACGAAGGACCGGGTTCAACCCCTGGCACTGCATCATCCCTGCTGCACCACTGGGAATATGAAGGGCAAGACACAGGCAAAATTAAACTGTGCCGATCTCTATCACTGTATAGGTCACAGAGGCATTCTCAGTATCTTCCCCTGCTCACACACAAGCCTTGCATTCATCGTGCTCTGTAAGACACAGAACCAAGAGTTTTATGTAAGTTATTTCATTTAAATTCTACAAAGGGTGTCTTTTTTTTTTTTGACTGAATTTTATTTTATTTTTTATTTTTAAAATTTTTAATAGTGAGACATCATGAGGTACAGTTGCAGACGTACACATTTTTGTGCTTGGGTTTCAATTATACAATGATCAAATGCCCATCCTACAAAGGGTGTCTTTTCCAAATTTTACAAAAGGTGAAACTAATGCTCAGTTATTAACACACTGAAGTCAGCCCCGCTCACTGTTGCCCACCCCTTGACTGGCTTAATGAGCAAGAACTGCAACACCAAATCAACGTGTCGAGGATGTGGCTTAGATTTGAAGCCAGACAGAGTTCTGGTCCCAGTCTTCCAAATCTCCTTGCTAAACTCTTTCCTAGTTTTCTACCCTTGGGTCTGAGGGTTTGGTGATGATTAGCGGTACCGTGAGATGCGGTTACTAAAGTTCTCAGCTTAAACCCAGGGCCTCATGTGTGCAGAGCATGTGTCCGACTCCTGGGCTACATCCCTGATCCCCATGCTTGTTTACTTTTTGGTTTGGGGCCACACCTGGCAGTTCTTAGGGCTTAGTCCTGGCTCTGCACTCAGGGATCACTCCTGGCAAGGCTTGGGGACCATAGGGGATTCCAGGGATCAAATCCGGGTTGGCCTCATGCCAGGCAAGTGCCCAAACCTCTGTACTACCGCTCCAGCCCCCATGTTCATTTCTATTTAAGAAATGGAGACAATTACCAGATTAGGAGACTAGAGTTTATTGCTCCTGTAAATCTTTTTGGCCTTAATTGGAATCAGATGTATTAATTCTGAATTTTTTGGTCCTGGTATTTGTTGTTTAGTAAACAAAGCAGTTTCTGTCAAAAATTTTACTGAGTGAAGTGTGAGAGGAGAGGAGGAAATACATGTTTCCAGAGTGGAAAAAGCTACTAATGTTTATTTCTGGATCGTCCCAATTCAGAATGATCTAGTGCCTGTGAAGAAACATCAGCTCTATCTGGGACATTTATTTTCTTGGAAGGTGGAGTCGCAACCAGCATTGCACCGCACTGTCCTCCCGTTGTTCATCGATTTGCTCGAGCAGGCCTAGTAAGGTCTTCATTGTGAGACTTATTACTGTGTTTGGCATATCGAATATGTCATGGGTAGCTTGCCAGGCTTTGCTGTGCGGGCGAGATACTCTCAGTAGCTTGCCGGGCTCTCCGCGAGGGGCAGAGGAATCGAACCTGGCTCGGTCAGGCCGGCTGTGTGCAAGGCAAACGCCCTACCGCTGTGCTATCACTCCAGCACAGCAAATAATAATATTTATGGGCTGATAATAATATTTATGGGCTGGAGAGAATACTGTGGGTAGGGCACTTGCCTTGCAAGTGCCATCTCTGTTTTGGCTCTGGAACCCCATATGGTCTCCCTATCCCTGGCAGGAGTGATCCTCGATTCTGCACAGGTCACAGAGGCATTCTACACCCTAGCCAGGAGTAACTCCTGAGCACCACTGCGTGTGGCCCCCAAACAAACAAAAATTTGACTATCTTGGATGTCTCATGTACTGGAGTGCTTTAGATCCTGGCTTTTTAAAAACTGTGGACTGTAGGGACAGAGAGATAGTTCAAAGGGCTAATGCACATACATCGCGTGTTAGAGGTCTGGGTTTGATCCCTGGGACTGTATGGTTCTCCCCCGACACTGAGCACTGCTGAGTGCGGTCTTCCAAAACAAGAACAACAAACCCGGGTTGTGTAACTGAATATAGGGATGAGCCACAGAAACATTGGCAACAGTAAAAGGTTTCGGATTGCGTTAACAACCAAAGGAGTTATTCCGCCAGCAGTAATTCCTGAGTGCAGAGCTAGAAGTAACCCCTGAGCATTGCGGGAGTGACCCCAAAAGCAAAAACAAACACTGTCACTGTCACCGTCCTCTCGTTGTTCATCGATTTGCTCGAGCGGGCCCAGTAACATCTCCATTGTGACAATTGTTACTGTATTTGGCATATTGAATACGTCACGGGTAGCTTGCCAGGCTTTGCCGTGTGGGCAAGATCCTAAACAAACAAACAAACAAACAAACAAACCCCAAGCAAAAGTTAATTCAAAACCAAATGTGTAATTAATCCAAGGAGTTTCTGGCACTACTTGCTTTGTGGCATTTTTTGGACTGAAGGGGGTTTCAGGTGGGAAAAGTTGAAGCCCTGCTTTATATATATTGCTCTTCATTCAAGTAGGTACAATTACTGCATTTTTACAAGTGAGAACTAGGGCCAGGGAGAGAGAGTCCAGAGGGTAAGGTGCTTGCTTGCCTTGCGTGCAATACCCAGCATCGCATAGTTTCCTGGCCACCTCCAGGAATGGTTGCTGAGCACAGAGCCACACGCCCTGGCCATTGGCAGATGTGGTCCCAATTTCTTCCCACTCTCACCCCAGTTTTTAAAATAAAAATAAAAAGCTTTTTTTTTTTTGCTTTTTGGGTCACACCCAGCGATGCTCAGGTGTTATTCCTGGCTCTGCACTCCTGGCAGTGCTTGAGGAACCATATGGGATGCCAGGGATTGAACCCAGGTTGGCCGCGTGCAAGGCAAATGCCCTACCCGCTGTGTTATCGGTCCAGCCCCCTAAAATTAAAAAAAAAAAAACATTTTAAGGAAGAAAAATAACTTGTCTAAGGTCACTCAGGATTCCATCAGTGTTGAGGGGTCCCCGAAGGCCATGCTCACCATAGAGAAGACTAGGAATGGTGCTGAATGGTCAGAAGTCTATTCTGGAGGCCAGGACGAAGGACATGATAGGGGCATGCTGCTGTTCCCAAGGTGATTGGCAGGGCCATTGCTCTGATCAAGGCTTGGCAGTGAGCTTCCACTCTTAAAAGTTTAACTCAGACTTTTGCCTGAAGGCTTAAGTAAGGGAACTGCATATTAGCTTTCAAATTCAGTGTCCCAGGACATCTCATAAGAACCCATGGGCAAAAAGTCCTGTAGGACTGACATGTACTGGCTGGAAGTGATGTGTTCTTTCAGAGCCTGCCACTCTGTGGGCCATCAGGTGATGAAACTAGCCTCTGGGCCTCAGCAGGAGTGCCAGGCCGCTGAGCCATCTTCCCAGTCTTTTTTTTCCCCATTAAAAAGATTTTATAAAGTAGTTCACAATATTTGGTTACATTTAATATTCAAACACCAGTCCCACCAATAATACCCTCTCATCACCACACTTGGGATGTTTCCATCCCGAATCCTAATCCCTGCCCCAAAGCATAATTGAAATAATTTGCTTGAGCGGGCACCAATAACATCTCCATTGCGAGACTTGTTACTCTTTTCGGCATATCAAATATGCCACGGGGAGTTTGCCAGGCTCTGCTGTGCGGGTGGGATAATCTCGTAGCTTGCCAGGCTCTCCAAGAGGAATGGAGGAATTGAACCTGGGTCGGCCGCGTGCAAGGTGAGTGCCCTACCTGCTGTGCTATCGCTGAAAATGTTAAAAAATAGTATCCTTAGCGAAGAGTGTGAAAATTGTTGTATTTCATCCAGGGGCCATTAATCCTTCCTATAAGTCTGTGAAAAATAATTTCGCTCTAAGATTGGTTGTCTCCTACTTTGAACCCCATCAAATGTGGTGCGGTACTCTTCGAGTATGGGTAGGGTGTGTCCTATGAGGTGTTGTGCAGCCGCATAGTCCAGGAACAGGGTCACGGTTGGGTGAGGCTTGGAGAGAGCAGCTGTGAGCACGACGGAGGTCGAGTTCTGGAGGCTTTCGGCTGCCAGTGTTGGGTCCCTTGGGGCAGGGAGGGGGTCTCGCCCAAACCCTCTACCCAGTCACTTGTTATCAGCCCTGTCATCCGAAGGGCTGAACAGTCAGGCTCAGACTGTGTGGGCAAGACAGGACGCTTACTCTGATATTCCCCAGAAAGGAAAGATGTGCAGAGACTCACAAAATCAAAATATTTATTTTGTTCTTTAGCACATGACAGTGTTAAAACGTTTCCACTACAGCAATACTGCTCTCCGGGAGCTTACAATCTAAAACAGTCAATGGGAATTGTAGACCCAGTGATTAAGGCATTGTATCAATGAGCAGATTTTTGTATCTTTAGATATTTCTTTTTGAAAGGCGCAGCTGGAAAGGGCAGGGTTAAAAAGATCAAAAGATGTGTACCCCTTGACCCCACACCTCCCAGTGCCATTTAGGGACCCTTGTGGCTAGAACTCAAACCAGTGCCCACAGCCTGTAAGGGAACTCCAGAAATTGTGAAGAAATCCGAATCTCCCATCCTGGTGGACACAAGGGGGCTGTGTTTTTCCACCTCATGGGAAACAGCACCCAGGAATTGAACTGTGTGTGGGACATTGTGAGGTACCCCATCTTACCGAAGTTTCACGATGGCTCCTTGAGGAATGCTTAAGCGCTGGCCAAGTTTTACGTTGACTGATAATATGTGGCCAGGTCCCCTACCCCAGGACTAGGGAGATCATGACAAAGTGGATTCATGGGAAGAGAGCAGAAAGGGGAACAAAGAAATGGGGCAGCGAGCTTTCACAGATGAAGTGGAGGGAAAGAGAAATTACGATCTAAAACAAAGTTAGGCATTGAATGGCCAAGACATCAGAAATGAAGGTCAATGGGATCATAATAATACCATAATACCACAATCCCAGAACTCACAAAAGATGGTGTTTAAGGTTTAATTCTTTTCTCCTTCACGAACCTCTTCCTTGCTGGCACTGATTTTCAAGTCTTGGAAACTCAAGCCTTTCATTAAGGTGACTGTGAAAATCTGAAAACCTACGCCACACTGAGTGGGTTTCAGCCTAACACTTGTCAAACTAGACTCTTATTTTTATTCCTTATTCTTACGGTCCTGTTCCAGAAAGGGTACTTTGTAGCGATTCATGCCATGATTTCTAGAGAGCACCAGGGTCACTAAATATTAATTCTGATTTTATTATTTATTCCTTGGCTTCTGAGACAGTAAGTAATAACAGGCTATGTTACACCTTTATGTTGAACTCTTGTCGGTACCTGTCATTCACTGTTCTTGGTTAGGATCAGCACTCTGAGAGGTTGGAATGAGAGAAAAATGCTGGTTTAGATTTTCACTTCAATCCAGTAGGCTCACCGTGGTCCTCACTCTACACAATAGAACTGGCGCCCACAAACTTGGAAACCACAACAAAGGCCAACAGGATTGGTTTGTCTCCACTGCCCTGAGGCACACTTGGGAGTCTAGCACCAAGGAGGGGAGGGCTCAACACCTGACAGAGGTAGTTTGGACTGGGATCAAGACTGTAGTGACTAATAACTGAACACAATAAAACTCCAGCGTGATTCTTGATGGAGAGATGGTCTTGGCCACTTGCAATTTAATTAACTCCCCAGAGTAACAAAGGTGGTCCAGGGTTCCCCTGTGTGGGCATGAATGTCAGGGGCTAAGGAAAAGCTGGTGATCAGCAGGTTGCACTCCAAGCTGACCCTCAGGGACAGCTGAAGCTTTGCTCTTCTGGGCAAAATAATGATGGCTGGCTGCCTCATGCTGCTGATCAAGATCAAAGGTCTCTCTCAACTTTCCAACTACTCCCAAGAAACCACAGATCTTAAAAAACACAGGATAGTGATTTTCACACATGCTGACAGTCATTTTGGCCACAGTTCTGTGTGTGTGTGTGTACACACACACGCACACGTCTGCATTTGGCTGTTGGACCTGAGTGTGTGAGGAATAAAGTATTTGCCAGCTATCGCTGAAGAATTAGGTTTTAAAGTCCAGATAGAACCACTGGCCAATTAAACACTCCATATGTCCATGCCAACACCACGTGACACTCCAATAGTCTCAAGCAGGGCCTCTCCTTGCCCATAACCAGGTACTTGTTAGAAACGCCAACAGATTTGTGGTCCATTAACTTGTGTCTCAACAAACCCTCTAGGCGATTCTAGGTGCACCCTCAAGTTTGAAAACCTCTAATTTAGAAGTAGACACCTTAGAAACAAAGACAATAAAAAAATGAAACTCCCCAAGCTCCTGCTTCAGTTAGCTGTGACACGCCAAGGTACCAAGTCAAAGTAAAATGCCAATGATTTTATTTTAAAATGTTCGCTCAATTGATTGTCATTTTTCCTATCTCTAAATTCATTCTAATCAAAAAAAGGCTGCATAGATCACAGTTAATGAGGAAGCCCCCTCCCAAGACCACAAACGTCCACGCTCTCCAAACCTGTTTGCACATGAGGAAGATTTCAGTTCAAAAACCCCACCAGGGAAAGCGCAGTGGATTCCTCACTCACTGGGTCCTAAGACTCGAGGTGTTTCTTTTTTTCCTTTAATTACTATTTAGTTTGGGTTCTTGGCTTAATTGGGCAAGAATTTCCATCAGTTATGATCAATCCTGGTTGAAGTTAACCAAAGGGAAAATAACCCCAACAGATTCACACATTTATTAAAAAATAAAAATAAAACCAATAAAAAAGGAAGTAGGTGATCAAGTCATTGAATAGAAAGCTACCTGGATTAGATAAGAACTTGGATCTAAAAGGGAGGGAGAGAACATCTCATGGGTGGCTTCCTTGAGCAAATTGGGGAATTCTAGCTCATTAGAAAATAGTAATGGAGACGATCACTTTAGCTAACAGACCGTGAGCTAAACCTCTACTGACAGCTCTCTGTATGTGTGTGTGTGTGTGTGTGTAGAGGGGAGATATCAGGAGTTATTATGTCTTCCAGTCTTGAACTGTTTCCCACTGCAATGAAGAAGGCCACACCATGGGGTCTGCCGTTAATGGCAATGTTCCGTGATATCCACCACCACTGCCTTCTTCCAGCTGAAGAGGAAGTAGCCGGTGCCGGCCCCCGCGGCCACGGCGATGCAGAGGTACCCATTGTAGGTCATGAAGATGAGCATGAGGAAGTAGCTGACAACCACCTGGATGATGTGCAGCACTGTCTGCAGGAGGTGAGGGAAGCTCAGCATCTGTTGCCTGCGGAGTGAAAAGATGACAGTCAGGGACGGACCCCTAGAGGGCTTCCGGTTCATGGCTTAGCACTGAACTGCCAAGCAGAGACGGGCACCAGTTGGGAGTCTTAAGACAGATTCGAATGGAAGTGCCTCACTGTTACCTGGGCAACTCACAGGTACTTGTGCGGATGTGGGTGGCCAATAGGTTCCTGGAAATGAAATGACAGGACTGTTTGCCTTATAAGCAGTGGCCAGATGATGTTATTGATCAGTGGGAAGAAACCTTTTTGAAGTCAAAGGAAAGAAGTAATCCCCTAACTTAACTCTACCCTGAATCTTGAAAGGGATGGCCGAAACCCTTCTAATTATGGCCTGGATCTTAAAGCCTTTTGTCTTTGCAAAAATCAGATTCTCTAAAAATGGAATAGGATTGGGGCTGGAGCGATAGCATAGTGGGTAGGGCATATTTGCCCTGCACACGGCCGACCAGGGTTTGATTCCTGGCATCCCATATGGTCCCCTGAGCACCGCCAGGAGTAATGCCTGAGTTCATGGGCCAGGCATTGCAGGGTGTGACCTGAAAAGCAAAACCAACAAACCAACAAAAAAGGAATAGGATTGAGGGTTGAAAGGATGGATTTCGGTCAACAGGGTATCTTGAGCTTCCACGTCTTTTTTTTTTTTTTTGCTTGCTTGTTTTGGGGCCACAGTCTTTGGTGCTCAGGGGCTATTCCTAGCTCTGTTTTCATGAATGATCCCTGGCAGTATTTAGGGGACCACATATAGTGATGGAAATACAAGACTAGTGTTTTAACCCTGGTACAATCTCTACAACTTCCCCCCAAACCCAAACAAATACACAATTTAGTTTTAAGATCCCCTCACCCACCAAACACACACACAATTTAGTTTTAAGACCTGCATTTCTGGCTTGCTTGTCAAACCCATTTTCTCTCTTGAACATGTATCTTGCACACTTGTTTCTGTATCTCTTTGCTTTTTTTCCACCGAGAAGCCCAGGTCCATGTACATCTATTCTTTTTTTCCTCTCACCTCTTCCTTCGTAAGTTTCAATAAAAATGGGCATGACCAGAAGTAATTCCTGAATACAAAGCCAGGAGTAACCCCTTGAGCATTTCTCGGTGTGGTCCCCAAACAAAACGAACAAAACAACAATGAAAGCAACAGATCGATCTTCCTGAGCTGATCCCTGATCCCTGAGCTGAAGAACCAAGAGTAAGTCCTGGGCACCACTTGGTGAGGTCCAAAAACAAATTAATTAACCAATCAAACCAACCAACCAACCTAATACTATCTTACTTACAAACAAAAAACTACATTTCTATGGAAACAATTTCAAAAGAGCATCTTGCCAACCTGTGGGGGGTATTTTATATATCTTGATATTTTCTTAGATGGAACCCAGACATCTGTAAATTCTAATAAATAGGAACAAATTCTTATAGAATGTAATCAAAACTGGGGAGATTGCTCAAAGGGTTAAGCATATGCTTTGTGGATGACCCCTAGTATTTGCAGTATCCTAAGAAAGGAGCTGGGAGTGGCCCCTGAGAGCATCATCAATTTGCTATACCCTGACTTGTATCCTTGTCAGGTTGTTAATACTTTGGCAAATTAAAAAAAATTGATCCTATCGATCTTCCCAAAGAACCGGTATAGTCATGTTCATCCCCCTTTTGGTTGGCTCAGGACCCACCCTGCAAACCTCCAAAGACAGGTCAAGATCAAGGTCAGACAAAATTGCAAGTCCTTCATCTTACCCAACCGTTTTGTGCGTCTCCATCAGGATGGTGCCGTTTGGTCCGGGCACAGGCATGGAATTGTAGCGGATGCTGACCTGAGACTTGCGCAGCAGCCGCTCTCGGGCTATCTTGAGTCCTTCGTAGTACATTGCAAGTAAGAACACTGCCACGAAAGCGCCAGCCATTTCTGAACGGGAAGAGACAGTCATGAGACACAGGTGCAAACACCATGAAACGGGGAGTGCTGTCCCGACCAGAGAGACAGCAGGGAAAAACTGACACTACTGAATTCTAATACAACGTGTAGGTGCCATTCACAATAGTTACGGCTTCAGAAATAGAAGAGAAATGCTAACAGTTTTATCAGTTACAAAGCGTTTTATGATTGACTGGGTTTTGGTCACATGACATTCGACCAGTGTACGTCTCCAACCACCAATGTCCCTCCCTTTCCCCCTTCCACCCCTACCCCCAGTCTGCCTCTATACAGCAGGCACTTTCCTTCTTTCTCTCCCTCGTTCCTTCCCTCTCTCTCCTCTTGGTTTGCAACACGGGTTACTGAAAGGTTACGTATGTCCCTTCACCTACTTTCAGCTCGAAGTTCTTATTCAGAGTGATCATTTCCAATTATCATTGTCATAGAGGTTCCTTATTGATCCTAACTGCCCTCTCCCCCACCACTTGTTGGCAAGCTTCCGACAGTGGACCAGCCCTCCTGGCCCTTGTTTCTATTGTCTTTAGCCAATAGCCTCGTACTATGTTTTTTATATCCCACAAATTAGTGCTATCATTCTATGTCTGTCCCTCTCCTGACTCATGAGTCAGAATGGATGGACACTCCATGACTTCATTTTTCCTGATGGTTGCATAGTATTCCACTGCTAACACAGTATTAATGAAGAGCAGCACCATCTCCACAGAACTCATTTTCTGAATTAAGATATAAAAAATCGTTGAATAACCTGCTGAAGTCATTCCATTAGTGTGTTACATGTAGACTAGGAGGGGAAATAAAGTAATTTTTTTGGGTCACACCCAGTGATGCACAGGGGTTACTCCTGGCTCTGCTCAGGGGACCATGTGGGATGCTGGGAATCGAACCTGCGTCGGCCGGAGCAAGGCAAACACCCTACCCGCTGTGCTCTCACTCCAACCCCTGAAATGAAGTAATCTTAAGTGCTACTTTTTCCACACTGTGAAGTGCTAGTAATGACAAGAATGTTTTGCACATGATCTGAACTGAATGCCACCTCCTCCAAACTAAATTTTTGTACTTAAATGGTATAGAACCCGTGCAACCTATATTTAAGGTACACCAACTCAACATAACAGACACAAAGATAGGGCTACCTCAAAGCTCAGACGGTCCTTAAGATAGACCCCAATTAGGAAGGATGTAATAGTCCATTATAACAGAAAGAGTAGTACACCGGTGGGGTCTAGAGGATTTGGGCCCCTGTCCCACCACTGCCATGGCTGAAGGCTTAACTTCACTGTCTGTTCACGTGGTCATCACATCCGAGACACTGGAAGGCAGCGTACTCACCTCCAGGTGTATTTATTATCAAGCCAGCAAACAGTATTTCCACATTCTTATAGCCGAAGTAGAAGGTCATTTGCTGCCAAGAAACCAGAACAAGTCCCTCAGAGATAATGGAAGGTTCTAAATGAGCTTTACAGGCAAAGGGGCTTAGAACATTTAATTAGAATAATTCACCAAAGTGGGAAATCTTTCCCGTAGACCAAAACTAAACTCAGAAAGGGGTTGTTTTGTTATCCAGCTTTTACTTTTGTTTTTCGGCCATATCCGGGGGTACTCAGGGCTTACTCTTGGCTCTGTACTCTGGGATCACTCCTGGGGGGCCATATGGGATGCTGGGGGTTGAGCTTAGATTGGCTGTGTGCAAGACAAGCACCTTACCCAGCTACACTATCACTTTGGCCCCATGTCCAACTTGTGTTTTGTTAGAGCGAGGAGTGGTCTTAGGCCACATGGAGTGCTGGGGATTTGAATCAGGGATGGCAAAGTAAGTGGCTTAACTCCTGTACTCCTCTTCAGTCTGACAAAAAGAAATAAAGAAATAGAGAAGAATAAACACTAGAAGTCTTGGTTGTGGTGTGACTTGGAAACTAACCTGTCACATGATCTGGGATAGATAAATCCTGTGATTCTTTGGGTTCAGACTTCCTTTTACCTCAATGGCAAACTAACTATTGAAGACAATTAGGTCTAGGGCTGGGGGTGGGGAAGTTCATGGTTTAATCTCATGGTCCTGAGTACCAGCAGGAGCAACCCACAAGCGTTAAAAAGGGAATAGCCCTGTAGCACCAAATAAGTTGTGGACCCCAAACTAATCAACCCCCAAATTCTATTGTCTCTGTGACCCAAGTGCTGGGAAAGGGCCTAGGCTGCCTTCCTGTGGCACTTACCATGTTCATGTCTCCCCCGCCGTGGTGTGAGGATGAGGTGGTGGGGTGATGGTGAGAGGGTGGCATGGTGCTGTTATGGTCCATGGAGCTCATCCCCATATGGTGGGAATGATGATCCATTTTTCCAGCTGAGTCAGCAGAAGTTTCTGTAACGAAAAATTACATATAGTGCGTTAAGGATATGCAAGGAGTTCTCAAAAAATGCAAAATTCATGTAATAAACAGAATCTTATCTTTCTCATAATGGTTGGCACAAGCTGCTTGGAAGGGGGGGGTGACACTCTATTAGTTCATTGAAAGTACTTCTGGCAGGGGATTTGAGAAACAGACGCTGAGTAATTGTTTCTGAAAAGGGGAGGTTGGTCAAATAAATTTGGGAAACTCACTGCGTATTAAAAGAATATTCCAATATAACAAGGTTATAAACTATTACGCCCACAGCTTTTATACTGAATAAAACACTGAAATTTCTCTTTAAAGTCAGAAGACAGGCCAGAGTGAGAGTACAGCAGTTAAGGCACTTGTCTTGCACACAACTGACCTGGGTTCAATCCCTAAAATACCATATGTGCACGGCCAGGAGTGATCTCTAAGCACAGGATCAGGAGTAAGCCCTGAGCACAGCTGGGTGTGATCCAAAAAAGAAAAAAACACAACTTTTTATAAGGGCCACTTTGTGAAATTATGACCTGGGATTTAAAACTGAAAACTCTCAATATTTGCAGAATCATTCCTTTATTACAGACACTTGACTGTATGTTCAAATCAAATAGGCTAGGATATTGCAGGAAATAGATGAACAAAGGATGTAATTAATGAAATAAAATTGTCCCAAGGTCTTGAAATTGTAAATGTCAGGAAAATGTAAACAAGCAGATAATTTACCTAACTGGAAGGTCTGCCTTTAATCAGGCTATTAAGAATACAGTTTCACAGAAGACAACCAAGTCTTGTGCTGATTTAAATCTGAAGAAAAGGTCTATTGCTGCCCCAGGCAAACAGTGTGCTAGGAATGGAGATGCCCATCAAAGCTAAGAGCACAGAGCTGGAGAGCCTATATTCAATTAGGGCCAGACACTTGCATCATTAGCCTTGACACCCTATCAGAGCTGGGCTAGAGAAATTCATCTCTGCCCAGGCAGACCACAATGCCAGTGGGGTGGGGTGGAAAATGGGAATTTGAAGAATGAGGAGAGGGAAATATTGCGGGACTCTCTGTATTTGTCCCTGTTAAAAACAGATAGAATAGGGCTGCAGATAGAGTGCAGTTAAGTATGTATGTCGCTGACGACAGTTTTCTCCCTGACACCTTATATGGTCGCCAAAGCACTGGAAGGAGTAATCCTTAAGCACCACAGGATATGGTCCCCGAACCCCAAAGAAGGCAAAACACATTTAAGAACCAGATTAAAAAGGTCCAAAATGGAGTGGTTGAAGCCTGACCCCACCCAAACTTAATACCTAATCCAACCGTAGTTTCAACCTCACCCATAGTAATCTTTAACCAAATTGGAGTTACCAGATCAGCACCAATGAGGTATCTGATAAGACCCTTCCTTTTCTAGGTGACTTGACCTTTGTTGATAACCTGGTCCATGTTCTCTCACTGATACAAACCCTCCATTTCTTGGGGCCACAAGAGGGCCTGCTGATTCCCAAATTGCAATAAAAACCAGAGCTCTAAAATTGTTTTTAGACTCCCTCTAAAAATCCCTTTAAATGAAAAAATTATAAATCCCTTAAAAAATGTGTGGAGGAAAGGGTGTTTTGGAACTTTGACGTTGGAATTCATTTTCATAAGCCCAAGTGTACTTCTCATTCTTCACCTTAATCCAATATTGATCTGTTCTTACTGTGCCAAACACAGCTCAGAGCCACTAATTCAACAGTAAGCAAGACAAACAAGTTATTGAGAAAGAAACAATACACAGAAAAAACTCCCTGGTGTGATTACATGCGGGAAGGAAAACAACCCAGGGTAATGATGACAGCGTTAGAAAAAGGTGAAGAATAATTCTTTACAGAGAGTCATGTAGGCTTTTACTTCAAAAGCATGAATATTAAACACATCTAAATGACTGTCTCCAACTGCCATTCCACATTTTTATCAAGGCAAGCTTAAGAATCTTCTGGGCAAAGGACAAAGTATCAAGACAACCAAAGTTCAACTCTGAATTTTAATACTTTTCGTGCTAGACATTATGATTACAGAGTGTGCTGATCTGGTATCACAGAAGAATAACCCACAAGAAAGCACATTTAAGATTCAGAGATGGGCTGGTTGTCCAGAGGGCAGCAGATTCAGAGGCAGCCAACAGTGAAATAATAGCAAGACTGGGTAGTCTTACTTAGAAAACACACCCTCAGCATGGGCCTGAAGTCACACATTTTGTTCTCTTCTAGTTAAGTCTGCAAGGTGATTCTACTCAATAAAATCAAGGGCAGCTTCAGTTTTTATTAACCATGCAGACCGTGGCCTTTGACTCAATGAAATGTCTTTTCTGAAGAAGCTTTAAGGCTGACAGTGGGAAGGGAAACAGCCATAATTTTCATGTAGGGGGCCCAGGAGGGCATGTAAAGGTCAATTTAAAGCTAGAGGCACACAATCAATGCCAACAGGTCCTTATGTTCTTCTAAGTGGTCTGCTAAGAAAAAAACCCACGGGGAGAATATGCCAAACACACTACAGCTCAAATGGGGAAACAAATTTCTTCTTAGCACACGGTGAGTCAAATTGTGTTCTCTCTCCCTACTTCACGTTCCAGAAACCAACTGCCAGGATTATTTGGATAACTCATTACTTAAAGCAAGCAAGCACACCCCGTTCATTTTCCACTTACGGGAGCTAAACTGGCAGTTGGCTGGTTTTAGTCTGTTCCTTTGATAGTCTTAAATTGTTAAAGACTCAAGCTTAGCTTCTTCCAAAATAAAACTGAGTACTGAAAAGGAAGAGATAAATTAAAAACAAAGCCAGGAAAGGAGCAACGTTGCTGTGTCCGCTTGAGAGCCCATGCTTTGTTTTTTGTTCATTAAGACTTCTCTAAAGGGCAGAGGGACTTTATCTAAGCGGGCTCTTCAAGAACTATTTTTTCTAATTAGCCCCACCTCCATTCTCTTTCTAAGAACTGGGTACAAGGTCTCCTTCATGTAGCTGCACAGTCTTTTAAGGGAATTAAGTTTCTTGATTCACAAAAACAATTACAGTTTCCATGGAAAAGTTAGTAATGTCCAGCAACAGAAAGGTAGCAAAAGCTTTATATTATACTTTGTATTTATGATTTTATAATAAATATTTATCTTTATATTCAATGTATTTCTTTATATTATTGAATTGATTCAATGGATAGGGCAATCCATATGCATGTCAATGCCAGTACTTGTTTAAAATCTCCATCACGCACTTTTCTTCTTTTCCTTATTCCACTTGGTCAAAATTACAAATTAAGGTGCTTAACAATCTGTATGTAACAAGGATAGAACAGACAAACAAAAAAATTAGGCTCCTAACTTTCAATTTATGATAAAATACACCTACGGTATTTTACTAAGCATGTATAAGACAAAAAGGTAAGACTGGCAAGGCCCTTTCAAGGCCTTCACTGGGGTATTCAGGTTAGAGTTCCTGCATTTGGAATAACCCAAGATTCCCTGTTTGGGAATGCAGATTTGGAGCAAAGAGCTTCTGAAGGTCAGGAAGGGCAGGAAGCTCCTGTCCTGGCCAGGTCCTTTCCCTCTAATTAGAAGGCACCACCATTCCTCAAGCCCTTAGCCTTTTCCTAATCAAAACAGCAAATCACTGACTAGAAGGATGACCTTGGGGAGAGTGTAGTGTGACCAGTGCCACTCTTTACCTCTAAATATGTCCTCTATCTCATAATCTCATGTCAACCCAAGAGGAGATGTCACCCCTCCTGGTCAGTTGAAACACCCTCAGCTCTCCTCCAAGCCTGGGGCTCTCCAGTTAGGAATTTAGTACCCTTTCTCAAGAGTTGAGTTCGGATATTACAGAGCATAGCATATCATTCTGCTTCCGGTTCCCTCTCAGTAGCATATATACAAAAAGGTTTCAAAATTTCCTACCTGCTGGAGGATGATAGAAAAGTTTCCTCTCTTCCTGCCCACCCAAGACAAAGACTTGGCTAGAAGGTAGATTTTTTTTTTTTTGGTAAATGTTGACTTTCTAGTAAAAGAAACTAAATGAAGGACGATCAGGCAATCAGCAAGCAGGCTAAATTCTGATGCCCTTCCTGAGTCTTAGCACTGATCTTATTTCTAATAAGTTTAGGGTAAGTTTCAGTTTTCCTGGTATTGCACCACGTGGGATAAGAAAAAATGATTCATAATGACAATCCATGGGGATTATCTTCACAAAAAGACATTGTCCCTCACATTTTCCTTTAGCTCTGATGTAATCTAGAGCCTCTGAAGAGATTGTCTACAGTTGTCTTCCCTGACTTTCAAGATAAGGGCATTAAAAAAAAATACTAGGGTCATGTTCCTTTTCATACCTATAAAGCAATTTAGCCAAGAGATCTCTCTGAGTGACTCTCCTGCTTACTCTATTATGATGGTGACTTACATGCACAGATATGAAAACCTCAAGGTCAAAGGCGTACAATACCATAAACTGGGAGAATTATACTTCTGGACTGTATACACAAGACCAAGTGACCAGTTTAACCAAACTAACCCTGCTTTTTGATAAACCCATAGGAAATTAATAGAAACTCTGGGAACCATCTGGCTTAGTTTCAAGTGATCATACATACGAGAACTTGAAGATTCTTTGGCTGCCTTCCTGAATTCTACACTCCTCTTTCAGGGAGAGGTAAAGGTGACAGAAATAAAGGAGATCTTGATACATTATATATGGAAGTGGGATTTGAGTATCTGCCCATAACTTCGTGTTCCACTGTAAGATAGTTTAAAACAGTTTTCCAGAAAATGGGATCCTCCCTCTTGAGCTTTTATTGTTGTCCCACTCATCTCTTAGGCCTGGCCTCGTAATTCATATTCATAATTGTCTGACTATAACCCCAGAACCTTTTGGATATTTTACCTCCTTTCTCTTGACCCATGTCCTTGAAGTGATTATAAATATGCTTAACCTACCAAGCACAAACAAAAAGCATTTAAGAATTAATGG